TAATCAAGAGTTCTAGTGGATCTGATATGAAATATGTCATCTATGATGGAGCTCAATTTGATAGTGACACTCTAGTTTATTAAGCAGATAAGTCTTTAATATTCCAACACAAAAATGGTTCATTTTTAAATAGAGTCAGTTTGGATTAATCCCTTGGTGAAGGTCAAAGATGCGAATTGTTGACTGTCACTAAAGATAGCAAGCATATCATAAGCACAGTTATTGGTACCGGAGACGTTTAAGTTTTAGTCAATGAATGCACTGGAACTAAATGCAAATAGTTTGAATAAGGAGAAGTCTCATTGGCTGGAGTGACTCAAGCCATCAAAATGAGATTTGTATTTGGCAGAAATTTCATTGTTCTGAATACTGATCCTGTTAGTTATTCTAGATTTGAAAGCAGCATCATAGTATACTCATTCAACACCACTGGCACCACCTTCACCATTCTTTCATAGAAAGTAATCAACACCAAATATTTGGGTCCATCATCTCAAGTGTAAATTGCTGATTTCTGTCACCTTACTGTTAGTGAGTCAATCTATGCCATTTTTCTTACAGACATCACAAGAGGAGTGTGGATTGTTAATCTTGGATCCAATGTCGATGGATCAGTCACTGAACTCAACAAAGAACTCATTAATCTTAAAGGGTATGAACATGAGTAGTACTACCTCAAAGATGACACACATTTCCATCAACTTAAAGTCTTGTCTTAAGAAAAATCTGATAAAATATTTAAGATTTAATTGCTAGTTACAACATCTAATGTTGCCAATTACATATTCTACTTTGAATTGGAAATATCATCCAAAACTGGAGCTTCCTACATTAAACAATCTTTGAAATTACAACAAGTCCTATTCAATTACGGAGATTGGAAATCAGCCAACAAGATGTCATTCGCAGCCAATCATGTCAGTGTTTCCTATACTGATGGCAATGAGGTTGTCTTGGCTGTCTATTACATTGAAGTTAAAAAATTGGACGAAGTCAAATCTGTCCCTTTCATCTACGGTATTAGAGCTGATTACAACTCACCATTACCTGCTGATTTTGCTATGATCTTGTCTTAATATTAGAATTAAGTAAGTATTCCCTCATATTCTTATAGACTTATCTTTACGCCAACATTGAATACGATAGTTAATTCTCTGAACATACTGTCTTTAGGTATTCCATATATGATAATCCTAAATTAATCTTAAAAAACTGCAGCACTCTAAAGGAACAAGCTATGGAAATCTATGCTGTAAATCATTTCGGAGCTTCATCTGGAAAAACATATTTGTGGGATTCAGATAACGTACCTGATGATGACGAGTCTAGTAGGTAATATACTATTCTAATACTAGTTCTAAATGGTGGTGGATTACTTTGATCGTTATTTTTGGAGTTGCCATCCTTGGAGTTGGTGGATTCTTTTTGTACAAGAAATTTGGATAAAAAGGAGTTGAACCTTTATTAGGTTGATAAATATTATAAAGTTAAATTTTATTTATTAATAATATTATTATTTGAGTTTTTTTAACTTAAATAATTCCTTAAAATCGTACAATTGAGAGAACAGAATTACTTGAATCATAAGTAAGGCGAAATAATTAGAATAGGATTTCAGACTAAATCTCTGTGGGTGGAAATTAATATAATAATTGAATTTTGATTTTTGTTTAATTATTGATTCAATTAAAGTTAAAGTTAAAGTTAAAGAATAAGTAATCGAAATAATGAATATATGTATATTTAGGTATATCATTTCCTCGAACCACATTCCCCGTATATGATTTATTTAGTTTACACTTCCTGCTTTGTTTGCAGAGCTCTTAAGTTGTCTGTTAAACACACCTTATTCCCTTTTTATTTACTCTCTTTCGATTTAAAACAGTATGATGCTTCTTCACATTCATTTATAAACGGAATAGGAAGTTTGAATAATCTAAAATAAAAGATTAAGTTCCAGAATTCAGCTGTCTTACAAAATTCCTATTCAAAGATCCTTAATTAATCTAATTAAAAGTGTAATTAATGAATGTTCAGAATATCGAACTTTCCAACATCAACAATAATCATCGTTGGAGTGAATTGATTACCACAACCTTTCTTTTTCGAACACTTGATTGTTGAACGTAAGTAAGTAGGCACAATCTTATGTAGTATTTCTTCTATTGAAATTTGTCTCTTGCAATAAGAACACTCATTTATAAATAGAAACTATTTCTCATTCAAATCGTCATATTGATGCAATTATACATGTTCATACGATTAGATAAAGTCTTCAATAGTTGGAATTTCTCTCCTTAAATATATTGCTAATTCATAAAATTCTTTGCTATCTAACTAAAACATATGTATAATTTGCAACCAAATTCTGTAGACCTATGTTTATAAGGCCGTTTATTTATTTCTAATGTAATAATAGGGAGTAAGATAGGGGAAAAATTGTTATTTGTTTTTGGTTAGAATTTATGAATTGTTCTGGTCATTTATATTTATAGTTTTGATATCCGCAAATATCCGAGTGTTATTATTTTCATTCGCTTATTAAAAGGAAGCATTAAAATAATTAATATATGAAGTTAATTATCGATTAGTTTGATTATTATCTATAAATGAACACAACAATTACGTCCTTGAGAAGATTTCCCAAAATTATCCTTTGATTGGATATTGGGATTGTTTCTTCTTTTAAAAGGCAATGTTCCAATTCTTTTATTTGATATCATAATCAAATGCATTGCTGAGTATTTTCAAATTAATCTTAAGGAAAATCCCTTTGATCAAATTTGCGTTTGCTTCATTGATCTCTTACCTAGCAAAAGGCTCTAACTTCTTCTTTAATTTCTCGAAAAGAGGAAAATCAGGAGGAGGACATACATTATAGGCAACATTGTAGTCCAAAATGAATTTATATCCTTCAGATTCACAAGCTGGTTAAGGGAGAGTTTCTGGTAAGCCAACAATGTATGGCTCTGGGGTTTCAATAATTTAGGAGTTGTCGTGATTCAAGTAGCAAATCAACAATTTTTAGTATTGCAATGGGTAGATAAAGTTCATCAAGGCTTCTATTACATAACCAGGATACAAGATGGAACTTGAACATAATCTGATTTTTCTCTCAGTTAAGACAGCAGTATACAATTATATTATATTATCCACATTGATATTGTGCATAACATAATCAATTGATTTCAATTAGCATGTTGGATATCTGATATGCTTTTGAAATAGAAAGTATTAGTCATTTAATATCAATTTTAGGGAGATCTTTTCGAGAATTATAGAATACTTTAGCTGTTAAATGACTCTTTCTATATGTTGCTATAATTGATTTTTAGATGTTTACTTCAATTTATGAGTCATTTCTTATGGAATATAAGTAAGTAAGCAATTATGAAAATTGGTAAGTGAAGTTCTAATAACTGATGAGAGCCATAACCTTTGGAATAAAGAGATTGTTGTAATTCTCTAATTTGAGTTTCTAGGCTTATTTTTTGGTCAGCTATTCATAATAGCGTAAGCAATATATGTAAATGAGATCTCCCTTGGGAGACTACATCAATTGATAATAAGTGATCTAGTTTTGATTGGGATTCTCATTTGGTGTTTTCTGTAAAATCTGAATTCCCTCTGGAATGCAGTAATTACTAATGGAAGGATTGTCATTGAATAGATTTTGATAATGCTTCTGCTTTTGGGATTCCTTGTAACAAAATTAGTATAGATCTAGTATTTCAGGAGTGTAGGCTTGCTTTAATGGGGGTTTCTCTACGAATGTTTAATTATGAAGATTGCTTACATCGAATAAACTATATTTGCTTCTTGCTAAATGAAAGAAATTGCACAGTGTCTTATAAATCATGGTTTGGATCATAGTCTTCCAAAACCAAATTTATTATTGGAATATAATCTGTTTTTCTGGTGTAGCACAGCACAAAACATTTATTCTTCTCAGGCAAATAGGGACTTATATCAAAACGCTCTTGATCTTTGATTAGGCCCCAATCTGTGATTTGAACTGATTTCATTACATCAGCCTTCTTCATAATTGGGCATAAACTGTATTTGTAATTAAATTAGATTTGACTTTCTCTAACCTCTACATCAACAAATATAATATTAGTTATTGGATCTTTGTTTGGCTCATTATAAATGCAGAGTAGGAATAATTTCTCATTTCCAAAGATATCTAATGATTCCTAAATTATTATGTTTTGCTCATTATAGAGGGTCTAACCTTTTTTTTCATGTAACTAAATTGATGTCAATAACCCTATTAAATATCCACTATGCATTACTTCTTTGATTTTTCATCATAGGAATCAATTTCTCTCCCATTCCAACTAAACAATAATTTAAAATCATATTCTATGCATTTTCTAAATTTTGTTACATAAAATAATATTATCAATTCAATTCTAATGAAATTCATAATCTCGCCGATCCTTCAAATTTATAGAATCTATATTCACTTTCCCTGAATCCCAGGATTTATGAATCAATCTGAATTTCGATATGCATAAACTCAACATACTCCTAGTTATAACTCGTAAAATACCATTCTAAGTATTGTAATTAAAACACAAAGAAACAGGCACTCTTCTTAACTTCCCCTTGATTTTCTCCCATATAAAGTGAGAAATCTTTAAAAAACGACTATATCTAGGAGGTTAAAATTCTTTTGTTAGTTTTCCAAATAATTATATATTTAATCGATCATGAATAGATGGAACTTACAGATTCAGTATCTTTGATAAGTCTTTCACAAATATTGTATCAATCTGAAAATATACCAATCGTACTATTCATAATTATAAATATTAATTTTCATTTTTGGAAGAATTAGCAGTATATTTGGAGGACCAAGAATTTAAACAATTTAGAATGGGAAAACTAATCTTCTCAATAAGCTCTCTTAATAAAAAGAATCTATAGATAAATTTATTTATTTGTTTAATTGAGAGTATGAAATCAATAGATTCATCATTTTTATATAATTATTTATGCAAGATTAAGTTGTTAAGCCCATCTATTTGTCTATCAATCAATTGACTGAACTATTCAATAATTCTATACAAGATTCCTCAGCCTTGGATGATCATCAAAATATCAATAATCATTTTCCAAATTAAGATTCCTTTGCTGACATACCTCTAGAGTTTAGTTTTTAGGCTTTACATTTAATTAATTCCCAAAAAACAATTAATGATATTTAAATTGCCGACAAGCCCACAACTAATGTTTTAATTAGCAAAGAATAATATTAATCGATTATGTTGAAGATGGAGTAGAATCGAAAATTAAGTGAATAATATTAAAAAATGATCAAAGAGAACCAAGAATAAATCCAAAATCGTAAATTACTTGAAGATTAGAATGCTGCAATGTTAGATTAAAACTTTTAAATTAAGAGAGAAATATAAGAAATGAAACAAAAATTATTAATTTGCTAAAGTGCTATTCCTTTAAGAAAGGACAAACAAATAATCCAATTAAGGAATCAATACAAAGAGCTCCAAGCAAAGGTGGCAGAAAAACGGGAAACCCAATAATCAACAATTCTCACTGAAAACAGCACAGCAGACTCTGATAAATCTAATTCCTATTATTGTAATACAAGTAGACTAGTCAGAGTCGATCAAAGCTCCTCTCATCATTAAACAAAAAAACCATATAGGAGCAGAAATAATTCATTTGTTAAAATCGTTAAAAATTGATGGTCATTTTTGGGATTAATTGACTTTTTTTTTCGTAGAATTTTTTAGCTATTTCAAACAACAAAATAAACTTATTTCTCAGTATTAAAATATTAGAAAATTTGATTTTATTTATCTGGTTACTTTTTTTTTTGTAATTGAGTAATTAATATAATAATCAACGCCAATAAAAACTTGAATTTGGTTTTAGAGTTAAGTCAATCATGGATTATCTTCAAATTATTAATTATGTGTTAGTATAAATTTAAGGATAAAAATTTGTATATGATCATAATTTTTATATCAAAAATGGAACAACATATTAATATATATAATTTTTCTGAACTTTCCCAAATAGAGAATATAAAGTTCTAGATTCCAAAAGTTTGGAATTGTTATAGTATATGTTAATAATTTAGAATGAGCTTAATAAAATGAAATTATTAAAAATTTGGATATTTCAAATAACAAGTAATTATTATTTGATAATATAGAACAGAAATAGTGAATTGTACTTATGTTGAACTTTAATCAAGATATAATGGTTATCTTAATTGATAATAGGGAATATCAATCCTTTTCTTCTGGAGTACTATAAATCCAATCCTATTTGAAAACTAAAAATTTGACATTAACGTCCAGTAAATAACTAATTCAAAATTTAGAAGAATAGAAGGAGAACGAGGGTATACTAACTTACATAAATAGTTTATAATATAAGAATCATCTTTTGAAGTTCCTTTTTTTACAACCTGGAATGTGTCTTTCAGCTGCTTATTCACTAAATTTACGACCACAACCAGGACATTCAACTAAGTCATCTTAAGGTTGAATATCGGCAGTTCCTCCAGATTTTGCTGCATTTATCATTTATCTAAATGCTTCTGATTGCTTTTTCCATTTCGGATCTCCATTTTAAGCCATTTATTTTTTTTTTTCAATTATTTTATCTTTAACCAATCCTTGCTTTTCTAATTTTGCTTATTCTTAATTAACTTATCTATGTGCTTTTGAATTGAATTCTTTTCTTTTTGATTAAAATACCTTCTTACATACTTTAATATGTTTGTCTAAGGCATTTTCCTTGAATCTTCTGCCACACCCTTCTGGACATTCTTGTAAGTAGCCATCATCGTCATCCTCTGGAGGTGGAATAGAATTGGTTTGATTTTTCTTAGCAACAGCAGGTAATTCATCAATAGGATTTAATGCTCTATTGTTGTTTGAATTGTAAGATGGCTATTACATGGGTTGTTGTGGTTTTCGGGGTTAAGGTTTGTTGTATTGTTCTGGTGTCTGCTGCATTTGCTTTTATTATTCAGGGAGTGGATCATATTATCTTTCAAATTGTCTTTCTCTTTTTTCGAGTTGAGGTTAAGAGTTGTTTTGAGAATACTTGAATTATTAGGCTGGCTATTATTGCTTGAGTGGAGATAAGGACTATGTGTTCTAATTGTAATTATATTGATTCTATGAAGATTATTATTGGTTTTATTAAGTGTTTAAATTCTGATTGCCATAAAGATTGTATGGATTATATTGATTGTTTTAAGAGGAGAACTATTGCTAATTATAATTATAATTGTTATTATTATAAGGATTACTTTGGTTTTGATATTACATATTATTGCCATATAGCCCATTATTCGAGTAGTTGTTATTGTAATTCATGAAGTCATATTTATTTTGCAATGAAATTGGCTATTATGTGAAATCATAATTGTTATTTTATTAATATCCATAAGGCTATTATTTCTTGGTTAAGATATCATCATAATATTTAGGAGGTTATTGAATTACTTACTGTTATTATTGCTTTTTATTTTATTATTGTTCATAATAGCTCTATGGAGAATTGTAAGTGTTTAAGTTATTACTTTTTTTGTATGGGTCTTCCTTGTACTTTTGAAGTTAGTCATAGTAGTTGAGTCTATTAATGGCATTCATACCTAGATAGGGATCATTTCGATTAGAATTTTAAGGAGGAAGTACTTGTTGCTGTTTGTATTATTATAATTATTGATAATTGAGAGTGCGTGGATCAATTATCTTTTGTTGGGAACTGGTTTACATTGGCTATTATGCTTGTTGCTTCATGGTGTAAAATTCATAGTCACTTTTGGGATAAAGTGGGGATTGCGATGGTTTAGTAGGTTGTGTATGAGGATAACTGTCTGGATGCTGACTGGTTCCTTGTTACCAGGTATCACGATTGCTCATTTTTGCCTTGAGCAGTTGCAGCTAGTTTGAGACTTGCTCGTTTGATACAGCCATTTGACCTGTACGAGAAAGGTTGGATCCCTAATACATTTAATTATAATTAAAATGGGTAATATGAGATTCCATCATTAATTTATCACAATATCTAGGAATTTCTATTTCAATTTTTTGGCTTCATTGAGTGATTGACATATTATCCGAATTTGGCAAGATGTAGTGCTTTGAAAATAAAATATTATAAATTAATGCAATCCAATGATTCAAGTAGAAGGAGATTGTTTTTGCGTTCTCTTGCAGCCGAAGAACCACAGAAGATGCAAAACATGTAACAGATTTCCTCTCTATTGTAAGCTCAGCCAATGGGTCTTTGGTCCTCAGTTAGTTTCGTCTTAATTCCAAAGGTCTGACCTTCACAAAAAGTATTGTATCCCTATATGCTTTAGACATCACGTACATGGAATCGAAACACTTCAAGGATCTCAAGTTGGAGGATTTCGAAATAGTCTGTAAATTAGGATAAGGAAATTATGGTAGTGTTGAGAAAGTACTTCACAAACCTACTCATGATTACTATGCCTTGAAGGTATGATCTGAATGTTATAGTCACTTAGAAAATACATTATGTTAGCAATGATGTTTAGGAATCATTATTGAAGAAAGAATTAAAGGCACTGATAGATTGCAATTCATAATATGTGGTTTAATGTTATGGGGCCTTTTATTCCAAAGGAGAAATCTACATTGTTATGGAGTACATGGATATGGGGTCTTTGTAGATAATATTAGAAAAAACAAAAAAAATACCTGAATCCATTACCATGTTGATAACCAAAGAAGTTCTTTAAGGTCTAGATTATTTGCATACCAACAAACACATCATACATAGAGACATCAAACCTCACAATATATTAATCAATAAAAAGGGAGAAGTGAAGATTGGGGATTTTGGAATTTGTTCTGTTAGTGAGAATTCCGACTAGAAATTCGATACCTTTATTGGTACAATTCAATACATGTCTCCTGAAAGATTAAATGGAGAAGAATATGGCTATGATTGTGATATTTGGAGTGTGGGCATGATGACTATGCAATGTATTACAGGTCTCTTGCCATTTGAATTTGATGCCAAAAAAATGAGCATGATAGAATACATTTAAATGAGCAAGAATTTCAAAATTGATGATTACTTTCAGCAACACAAACATTCCATATCAGAAAACACTATTTACTTCATTTCTAAATGGTAATTTCATTGTTTTCATTATCTTTTCATAGTCTATAACAAGAACCGAAAGATAGATCGAGAGCCTAAGAGTTGCTTTAGACAAAGGCAATCAAGTACACGTAATCTCTAAAAGTCGATGTCTTTAAATAATGGTTACAGTTGTCTATAGAGGAAATTTGAATTTACTTGTTATTTGATGATTACTTATTTATAATTAACAGAAATGAATCAGCCTCAACGGAGTCTTTCAAACTTAGGAATGTCTAAATCTCGTACTCTGTTTATCATCTATATAGAGACTATATCCCAGAATAGAATAGGACCTCAAGTGCATTCTATAAAAGAGATGACCAAAGTAGATTGGATTAGTAGTTGGCCAGATATGAAGAGTTCAAGAGAAATTACAAGCGAAACGAATTAAAATATTCTTACTACCAGCAATATCCTAGGGAGATGAATTAATCCTTTGTGGAAGAACGATACTAGAATTCCTACAATCCTCGTCCCAACTATAATAATAAGCATCTACAAACACAGCAATATGAATATGATAGGGATTTTTACAAAAAGGACATTAAATAGGATTCCCCCATCAAAGTTGAACTCAGCTATACTGCTCCCAATACTGCAAAAAAAGGAGTTGTTTCTGACACGGCTGCTTACTTAAGAGAAAGAGAAACCATTATGAATTCTTTTATGACTCAAGAGGAGATTCAGAGAATCAAAAGAGTTTACTATAGAAAATGATATATCATATAGTCATTTTAGTATCTTAAATGTATTTTTACTTATTATTTTATAAAATCATTTTGGATACTGTCCTCCAACTACAATTGAAAATTAAGAGGGCAAAGCAAGAATTCCAAAGAATATATTCTTTGTTTATTCTAAAAATATCTATAAAGTTATTGTAGTCACCTAAATAATTTATACGGTGATTGCCTATTATTTTTATATTACAACTAAGCCTTTTGAATGTGGAATATAATATTATATATATAATCAACTAATCAATTTCCAAGATATTGAGTTAAACCATAGGAATTGGCAAAGTACTCTGTGACTTTTCTATTGTAAGCAGCAGGGTTGTCTTTGAATGGTATCAAAGATTTAATAGTCTTCATACTCATTTAATCCAAAACAACTGCAGGATTGTAAGACCATTGTTTGATTCGATCTCCTTGTGGAAGATACTTATATTGTAATCTATCACAATCCATACGTTTATTAAAATGCCCCTAGAATGAAATGAAAAAGTACTTCTCTTTAAGCATCCACTAATCTGACAATAATGGACATATTTTTGAGATAAAACACTTTATTGTTGGTGACTTAATCTCGAAGGTAATCCCAAGCATCTTGTTTTTTAATATCTTCAATCACAGCTCTTGGGACTGATCCTCTGAACACTGGTAATTGATAACAGTTGGACACAACATAATTATCAGGTGAGAATACAGGCAAGATAGTCCAACCCACATCTGAGATGGCTCCATCTGGTTTTGAGAATGGCACTGATTTAATGTCTAAAATGATATTCTGATATCTATTGGCATTTTCTTTGAATTTGAACCAAGCATCATCATATTCAGGAGTGTTGATTTTGGAATCGAAATCATAATTAGAACACATGTGTCCTTGAGTGATGTCTCTAGGTTCTAGATAAAAGGTTCCAGGTTATGATAAGGAATAAAAGACCACGTACATGTGTGATTGATTAACAACATTATGTAATCCATCAACAGTCAATTTGAATCCAGCTTATGGTCTGTATTTGGCAAAATACATCATATCGATCATGAATGTGTCATGAGTCAAGGATATACGATTATCCAGATAGTTGATTATCTCATTATCTTTGTATTATCTATTAATTTATTCTCCCTTTATTAATAAATAAGCAGCCTCTCGAACACTTATATCAGGTCTGATAGTTCTTTGAGCAAACAATTCATTTTCTGATTCAGTGATAGGAGCTAATTCAGTGTTGTAGGCACTTGCCCCATATTAAGGACGAGGCCTCATGATATTTCTGGCTATTTAATCCTTTAAGCTCGGAAATTCTTTGATGGATAGAGCTCGTTTGCCATCTTCACTCAAAGGTGCTTTAAACATTCTCACTAATACAGTGCAACATGGAGATCGTTCATGGGAGTAACTACATTTTAATATATTATTTACATCTTTTTCATATCAAATGGTGGTGTTCTGTCTAACTATTGACTGAACAATGGGATTTAATATGCTCCAGAATACACTACATAATTATCTTCATTAGAATCCTCCGGTTGAGATTTAGTACCAGGATTCAAAAATAAATTAATAGCAGCATAACCAACAATTCTGTTATCATTAGTACTCTTGTCTACAGTTACAACAGTGATCAAAGCAATAGCTGTTGGATCAAACTTCTCTTTTCTCAATTCTCTTCTGAAGTAAAATGTTGGATTATAGGCCATGCTATTGAGATCAGGAGCTGCTGTTTCAGCATCAAACAATTTTTCATATCTTCTATTGTATACTTCCATGTACATTTTACAAGCTGTTACTTTATCAGGCAAGAACCTTAATCCATCTATGTAAAAATCGATTCCGTGTCTTCTCTCAAATTATTCATTTATCCATTATTGCTAGAAATTAGGAATATATGGACTATTGTCTAATGGAATATCTTTAATCTCCTCCAATTTCGGTTTCTTATGTTTATGCTTCATCTACTTTTTAAATTCTTCAATATCCTTTTCTGTATAAGCAAATTAATGTAAAGCAAAGTCAATAACTTCATCCATTTCCTATACTTTAGTAGGATCGATAGGCGGTCGTCTTAAAGGTGGTTTAAATAATTTCATTTTGAATCTTCCAGTTAGCAGACTGCCATCATCTTAAGTCAGTTTGAGGAATTGCCATCCCTTTAAATCAAATTCTAATCCTGCGTAATTCTTTTGTGTTTCATTCAAAACTGATTCCTACAAATCAACTGGCTCGGGTTTTTCAACTACCTATAATCCAATATATAAATCCTTTTTGTTCTTCTTAATCATTGCATATAGATTTCGAAATACTCTATACTCCTCCTAGAATATGATATCCTGACCTTATGCCTTATTATTCATTCCATCATACTCAACGTTAGGTTTGTGTAAGGGTATAATATATTCATTTGCTAAAACTTGTCTATTCTTTTGATCCAAAGGATTGTGAATAGAAGTATTAAATGCAACTGGCAACCCATTTGCATCCAAAACTAAATTGCCTTCCTCAAACAGTCCTGCCATAACTCTCAAATGAGACCTGGCCTAATGGTTATCAACCCTATAAATGATCAATCTCAATCCTTTCTATTTTCCATCATCTTAAATTGGAGGTTCTTCCTCCCTCATTCCATACTTCTGCATAGGAGGTGGCTGTCCAGTAATCTCGTATTCTTCCATATTAGATTTACCTCCTGCTGCTCCCCCCACTAATTAACTCTCCTCTATAATTTCTTCAATCATCTTATATCCTCTGCCCCCATATCTGGTTTCATAGCTTTCTTCCATTCCCTTCATATTTTTCACCTTTTCTCTCTTTCCAAACAATCCTCTCAGATGGATATAAGGTACTATGTATTCATGTTGAGTTTATTCAGGGTAAATCGTTTTGACTTCCCCATAATCTTTATCATTCGGATATCCTATTCTAAAATAGACCCAACAATTAGGAATGGGTTCCAAATTCTAGATCTCTTCCACAGTAATCTCTGGACTTGTAGGTCCATAGTAAACAGGACATTTAAATTTACCCCGTTTCAATTACTTGTTATGATCAAACAGATCCACTTAAGTCCATCCATAGGTTTCAGTTCTACCTACGTTATCTTCAACTCTCTTGCTGAAAGGAATTTGAACTTCCATAATCATCAGGGTATCTGGATGTGCAGGTACCTCGAAAACTTAGTGTGCATCTCCAAAGATGCATCTATTGTGATTTTAATTTTCTGTTTCACTCTCTCTTGGTTCAACCAATCTAGGCTAACAAATCACCTGTTATCCATTATAAACTCCAAATACTACCTAACTGTAATTACTCCTTCTAGGCAATCCTAAAGTGTAATCCCAATGAACTACGAATCCCTCACTTTGATTATACGCTTGCATTTACTATCTTTTCTAGGTATTATCTTTTCTTAATCTATTCTCAATGATGAACTTCTTATTATCATCTACCCATTTCTCATTCTCCCATTGTCTATCATCCTCTCTCCTTTCCATCTCAAAATCTCTTCTTGCATCCTGTAAACGCTACTCCTACACAATCTTCTCTATTTCTGCCCTCATTGTGGACAATTCCTTATATTACTCAACCTTAAATCTATACAATTCTGTCCCTACAGGAATTCTAGAAATTACCCTCAGACTATCAATTTCCTAAGCCTATAGACTCATTAGCACTCTCTCCTCTTCTGTCAAATCAACACCCCGAACTTCATTCATCAAAAAAAACTCATTTTTTCTATTGAAAATGCTCCATGGGTCCTTCATTTTTTTACCTTCCTAATTCAATGCTAATTGATTCAAAGCAAATTGTCCAAATGCTGTTGGCCCTTGTTGTTATGACTATAGTTGTTATTGCTGCATTACTGGATTGTAAGCAGGCATCATTTGTGGTTAAGCAAATGCATTATATTGCATCATAGGATTCATTTGGAATTATGGTTACTAAGCTTAAGGTTATTGTGGTAGCATTTGAAATTAATTATTTTGAAATTAAGGAATGGGTACACCCCAAGCATTTTTTAAGACTTCAATTTATTATTGTTATTATTATTGCTATTAAAGTTATTAATTCACATCAGGGAAACTCTATATAGTTTATTAGGGCTATAATCTAGTGGCTGGTGCTCTATTGATTTAGGATGAGGGTTATCTCCTGACTTAGCTCATGTTAGCACTCTGTGACAAACTTTAATCCATCATACTATTTGCATGCTATTCAATCCCTTATCTGAATGCTTAAAGTTCTCCATGAGTCTAAGGATTCTTATTTTTATACATATCCACAGCCTATTATCCAACAGTTGCTCTCTATCCAAAAGCCTCGTCTCCATCAAATTACATAAATTCAGGTTTCTATTGTTTCAATTGATTTATTCTTTGCTGTTGTTCTGCAAATCTTCCATCATGTAATTTGGCATTGAAATTCTCCATCTATTTCATATCACCCAAAATGTTCTTTGCATTTGCAACCAAATTCATAGTGCCTCCTCTTTAAGCAGCCTTCAAATCCCCATTTCGCAGTCTATCCAAATTGTCCATGATTCTGAGTCGTTCTCCCTCTAATTATTCTCGCTTTAATTTTAACTTGGCCACGTTGTCTGATCTTTCCTAAATTAGATCCTCATTCAATTTTGTATTGTTTTTTTATTTTAATTGCATTCCATCAATTACGTTATTGATTTTTGAGACTTCCTCTTACCTCATCTGATCAAGCATATGTGTATTCTGTTCCATCTATTCAATATCTTTAATGAGTTCCCCTTCTTTCATTCTCAGAGCTTCCCTCTCAGCTATAAGTTTCTCTAACTCTCTTTTCCTCTCCTGTTCGATGGCTGATAATTTTGCTTTCTCTAAGTCCATCAAGGCTCTTCGAATCTCATCCTTCTCTATTCTAGCCCTGATCTCCTTCTCCTTTTTCTATTCAACCTCATGTAACAATTCTTCAAATGCTTGTCTATCATCATCTCTTTTCATTTTGATCTGTTGCCTATCATTCTTTAGTTTATTTAAATCATCATCCATTTCATCCTCTCTTCTTTTCTAGGCCATTCGATTTAACCTTTTGTATTCATCATCTTATTATTTCATTTAATCCTTTAAGGCATCCAAAGATAATTGGTTCTTTTATTATTAACCTGGTGGAGGTCTGCCCGTCTCAATAATTTCTCTTGCTCCAGGAGCATTGCTCTTTTTTAAATTCAATAATTCTCTTTAGTATTTCTCCTCCAATTTATTTTAAGACCCATAATCTGAGCTCACACAAAACTAATTAAATAGAATCGCCGATATTTACTCTCTTGACGTGGTTCTCCAATTATTGTCTTGTCTCAAATTTCATTTTACAAGCTAAACATTCATTGAAAAGTGTGTTCTCAGACATGTAATTTAAAAAGTAAAATTTATAATAATATTTTATAATTACAAAATAAAAAAATACTATTTTTGCAATCATTGTGTTTGTGATATTATTAATTTGTGTGGAATAAAAATTCCTATAACTCTTTTTTATTAGCATGAATATAACTGTTTACTCTTTACCATTAGATTTATAATGAATATTATGATGATTTCAATTACAGAACTTTTTAGTTAATGGTAGGTGAATTGCCATAGAATCCACTATTTATATTAATACAATATTATTTACTCAATTGTTTTAACATTCTTAAGAATCCAACAATTAGATAATTCACAAAACAATGTACATCATAGGTATTATTGCTCTTTACATATAATTATTTATGTTTTACAAAAATGATACAAGGCAGGGTCAGGTGGTGTGAAGCCAACTTATCCATCTAATTCTACTACTTTTTGCTGAATTCAACAAATAAATCCAATTTTCTTTAGAATGAATTATAATTGATAATTATTATCAACCTCAGTATTAGTATTATTTACATTCAAATTATTATGGACATTCAAAACATCATGTAGTAACTGGGAGGAGGAGGATAAGCCGTAAATCCGGAAGTGTCCATCCCAGATACAGCAGAATAGGTCACTATAAGTGCTCTTGCTTTGATCAAAATGCTAAAAGTAATTTCGCTAATATTATCATTCAGCATGCCAGAGCAGGAATACCATTTGAAGTAATGGGGCTATTATTAGGAGATATAGTAGATGATTATCACATTAGAGTTTATGACGTTTTTTCAATGCCCCAAACAGCAAGTAGCGTTTCTGTGGAATCTGTGGATCCAATATTTCAATAAAAAATGGTTGAATTGTTGAATTTAACAGGAAGAATGGAAAATTGTATTGGATGGTATCACTCTCACCCTTCATATGGTTGTTGGCTATCAAGCGGTACTCATTCATATCCCATATTTGATAGTCGATATCAACACTCAATAATCATATGAATAGTTAAATAAGAAGTCAATTGCCGTTGTTATTGACCCTATTCAATCTGTCAGAGGCAAAGTAGTTATTGATGCATTCAGATTGATTCCCTAATCAGCCATGCTTACTCAATAAGAACCTCGATAAACTACTTCAAATACAGGGCACCTTCAAAAACCTGGTTTAGAAGCTTTGTTAAGAGGCCTAAATAGATATTATTATTCGATCAACATCAAATTTAAATGCAATGATCTGGAATAGAAAATGCTTTAGAATTTATATAAAAACAGTTGGGCTGAAGGTTTAAAGTAATTATTGCTAATTCTATTGGTTATTAGATGCAATTCTGCTAGTGAAAACAGCCAAAAAAATGAGTTCTGTGTTGAAAGTATGTCCAAATTAGCTCTTGAATATTAGAAATTGATAGGTAGAGATTATTATTTATTTAATTTTAGAGGATGAATCTAAGAAAGGAGAATAGGAAACCAAAATAAAAAATACAGGAAAGAAGGATCCAAAGAAGCATCTTGGTTTGAAAGTAGATGAACTACTTGATGAGAATTTAAATGCTATATTGGGTAGGATGATGGCTACTAAAGCCTTCTGATCTGATTTATAGTTAATATTAAAAATGATTAATAATTTAATTTTTACTCCTGAACAATTTGCTGCAAATTATTAAATAAATTTCTCTAAATTGATAGGCAAAGGACATGATAGTACAGTATTTTTGGCAATGAACAAATAAACTAAACAATAATTTGCATTAAAATGTTTGGCATAAACAATTGAGTAAAATGCAATTAATTTATTCGTAATTATCATATCATATTTTCAAGAGAACGAGATCCAAATACTCCGCCACATTCAACATCCGCACATTATAACTATGTTTGGATATTGTTCAGACTGTTCCTGTATGCTGCTTGAATTAATGTCATTTGGTTCTCTTTATAAAATCTTACTGCAAGGTCCTTTACCTTTAGCAATCGCAAATGGAATAATTATACAAATTGCTTCAGCTTTATAATATCTTCATGTGAAAGGAATAACTCATGGAGATATCAAATTGGATAACCTCCTGATTTCTGGAGATTACATAATAAAAATATGCGATTTTGGATTTGCTAAAATTAATGGTCAGACTCCAATTCCAAAGGCCACTGTGTCTGGGAGTGAAGGATATACAGCTCCTGAAATATGGTAGGTACCAATCGATTTGAGAAAATGTGACATGTTTTCTTTGGGAGTGGTGTATTTTATTATGATAACGGGGCATCCTCCATTTGAGTCAAATAATCCATAAATGGAGGATGCTTGGTGGAAGCTTATTAAAAAAGAGGAATGGAATGTGTTTTGGAAAGAATTAAAATTAACAATACTACCAGAATATGTTAGAACAATTATTTAAAAATTATTATGTGTAAATTATCAGATGAGATATTCAGCAGATGAAATCATATAAATATTAATGGATAAATATGCTACGTCAGATCAAATTGTTGATGAAATAAAAAAAAGAATCATTTAGTAAAAATGAAATATTTGTATTTATATTTATATTTAAATTATGGAACAGTTTATGTAATTAGAGCAAATGAAATTCACTAAATTCATTAACATACTATTTTATCAACACTTTATCTTTCAAGTAAATGCTATTTTAAAATGGCTTAGCTATATTATTCTTTTCTACTTTTGAGATGCTTTTATTTTAGACTTTCTTCCATCATTTTATCAATTATCTTTTATTGTTCTCTCTATTAATGGTTTAACTATATACTTCTTTCTCTTCTGCAAATGCTCTTGTGTTATTTAAGGCTCTTTACAATCTCATCTTATTTTTTTCAGATTACTCTTTGATTTTAATATCGATACTTGATTGAATTGACTGCAATCTACCTGAAATATCTAATTTGATTTCAAATAACTATACTTTTATCATTTTCCTTCTTCTTTATGATCTCTATTTTCTATTCTAACAAACTATTCAATTTTTCTTTGTTTTTCTTCACTCTTCTAAATTAAGTAGCTAATTTAGTTTTTACTTGTCCTAATTATGCATTCTTGATTAACATTTACTCTTCAACCATTTTATTACTCAAATCAGCAAATTTAATATATTATTCAAGCTTATTTTATTGATATTCAATCTGAGTTTATATTACCTTCTACTGTGCTTATTCTTACTTCTAAAGACTCAATTGTCTCTTTTAATTGATTTCATCCTTTAATTTTGACAGTATTTACTCAGTCATATAATCCTTCTCTATTTATTTCTCCATAATCTATTCAATCTATTGATCTTCCATATAAATAGCTAGTTTCTTCTTTTCTTTTCTCTCTTCTTCCTTCCTTTGATTTCTCTCTAGTTGTTCTTTCAATTCTTGATTATGCTAAGAATCAAATTGAATTTTATTTTGCTGAGTGATTTCTTGCTTCTTGTTCAGATATTCCTGTACTTTGATCCTTTATTCTCTGTCTTTAGTCTCTAATTCGTGTATTTTTTCGAGAGTCCTCTTCTAACGATCTTGAAAGATTTTCTTTCGTTCTTATTGCTTTCTAAGGTAACATTTTGATTTATTACATTTTATTCATTTGTTTGACAGCTTCTACCTTTTTGGCCATGATAGGAACTTTTTGTTGATAATAATCATGCAAGGATTTAAGTTTTTCTTCTTCCAATTATTTGTATCTACTAAGAGTTTGTAGGTATTCCTAACTTTTCTTGGCTTGCATTTCCAGTCTCTCTTCGAAGGAAGTCTATAAGAAATCGAGAGAACGAGTGTTGAATGATTTTGACATGATAGTGGTCAACTTTGTGGGTATGACTAGAGCACCGCCATCAGTGAGGAAGCCTGATAGATGAAATGGAGACAGATACTTGAGGTATTTTATTGAGTGTGTGATTTGTTGAGTTTATTTTTTGATTTCTATAGTTTCTCTTGTTTTTTAATCGAATTTCTTGTACTCACTATACGCAACAATTCCTTATACTTTTCAGTGAGATAGTTCATATAATTTATTAGATTTTGAATGGGATGAAGTTCTGGCATTTGAAACTGCTAAAATGTAAATATGTGACATGCATTCTCACCTAAATCTAATTTATTCAAGGCCTCTTTTGTTCGAGGAGATTGAGGATCCAGTTTCAAGAAGAAAATAGATAGTTTATTGGGATCTCTCAAGATTTTATCTTTATCATCGAATGGCATAAAATCTTGACTGATGGCTTCATCTATGATTGCATTAGTGAGGGTCGGAAATTTTAGTTTTTTAACGAAGAATTGATTGATGAGATGGAATTTTTGATCTTCTGTTAATTTTGGTTTGATTCTGGGAGAATGAACCTCGCTATTGTGACTATTGTGAAAACTTGACATTAAAAATAAAAAATTAAATAAATGCTCTTAGATAATGTACTATTGAATATGTAATAAATCAGCGTTCATTTCTTTTACTTCTTTTTGGTTTATTGCTTCTTTCCACCTGCACCAATAACTATTTTGTTGACATCTAAGTAATTGTGAATTAGGTTAAATACTTTATGGAAGTGTTTATTGAATTTTTTAGGCCTTATTCTTATCAGCTGTTTTGAAAGTGAAGAGGTATTTCTTTCCTCTCAACTTGAATTTGGTGATCTTCTTGGACTCTTTGATGTAGAGATCTATCAAAATGACATTAAATTCTACTCTTTTTTGGTTCTTTGTTGGCGTCCTTGCCTTATGCTTCACTACCCTTCATGAGTGAGAGGAACTCTTTAACATCTTGAATTTCCTTAGGCATTTTAATTTAAAAAAGATTTAAAAATTTTAATAATAAAAACAAATTACCTAATTCACTTTTGAACATAATCCTCTTTGCTTTGCTATTCAGTTTTACCTCTCAACTTCTTCAATTGTTCCTCAGAATAATGAGTGATTTCAGCTGGTTTCTATTGCGTGTCTTGATAACGAGACCCCTTCTTCTTGTACACTCTAAATCCGAAAATCCTCGGAACATACTGTTGACTATTTGGAGCAATCTGAATCTCTTAAATAAAGTTCTTATTAATTATCACTCCTCAATACCATAATGAAAATCGAAGGGAATGAACATCCAAAATAAGCCCCATCCACATCTGGACATTTCTTCTTTGGAATGTAAACCTCCTCGCATCTCGGACAGAATACTTTCACTCTAGAAGTTCGCAATTCTTCACTCATCCCAACAGGTAAAACATTAGATCTTTCACATAAGACTCTTGGACAAGCACCAAATTTTCCAGATAGAAATTTATCCTTCATTAGAGACAGTCCTGCTCAATATTTTGTTTTAATACCTTTTGCTGTAATTATAAATCTAGCATGAATTAACCCATATAAATCTGTTGCTTCTTAATAAACCTCCAAAAAACGTTCATCTTCCAAATCCTCATCGTCAGGAGTCTCAGAACTTAAAATCAAATCCAGAGCCTCACTAATCGTTCCTTTTTAAATATTACTTATAAAAATTAAACTTGCTCTTCAACCCATACAAATTAAAGTTGTCTCTAATAAATTCACTATCAACTTCACATAAAAATTGATGATCCTCCATTTAACAAAACCATTAAATCCAACCCCCACCTTCTGAATATGATGATTCCCCTGACATATTTTATTTTAATAATATATTAATTTTATTAATCATTATAAAATCAAAAAGATCAAAGTAATCATGCATAATCCAATAATAGAAAGAATATAAAAGTGTCTATCCAAGTATTTAACTTTCTTCATTTCCTTCTCTCTAGATTCTATCATTTATAAAGTTCTTGAACCCTCCAATTAATTGTGTTTTCTCTTTTGCATTTTACAATAAGATTTCACAGCATTCTTGATTAGATCTTAATTTTTATTCTTAATTTTTTGTTATGTCTTTTCAGTATTTTATGTTTTCTATTCTCCTTCATTTGTAGATTCCTCAATTTCAATATCTGTTATATGCTGGAGAGAACATGGCATCTTGAAGTCTTTACTATTTTCAAGTGTCCTGATCTCACTGTCATTCTCCTCTTCTTCATTTCTATATTGTGAAAGAACTATCCTTTATGTATAAAGATCCCCATATGAATTATAATGAGATTCTTCAGAATGCTTGTGTAAAATCAAGGTATTTAGAGAATCCCCAATTTGGAGTTCATTGTCGAATTGAAATGTCTTAATGTCCTATAAATAAGCTGATAATCGCTTATAGACTACAGAGCAAAGATGACTAGATCCTCTTAAAGTTGGATTGTCATCCAAATATGACTATTCATGAATCTGAGTAATCTCATTTGTTCTCATAAGACTTAATTATTTATTTTAAAATTGGCCTCTCATCATATTGAAAAGCAAGGCAAATTATAGTTTTCTTATTTTTTCATTTAAGATAGAAGTAATAATTGTAGTGCTTGCAAATTTAATTGCTAATTATTCTTTTATTGAAAATTCATCAGGGTGGACAATACTTTATTCATACTGTTCCTCTTCAGATAAAATTTCATGATTTTAATCAAGTACACTTGTTTTACAAATTTTCCTGTTTTGATTGCTCCTCATTATATTAAAAAGTACAAGATATTAAAACCTGTTCTGACATTAATTAATAAATTTTGTTATTTGAGTAATTGCTTTGTATATGTTGGATGGTTCTTTGATTCTCTTGAAGGTTGACTTTTACTGTTACATTACAATTTTATTTAAAATTTGGCAAAGTACAATTGTTGTCGCATTAGGCATTTACTGATATGAGTCTTATTGTGTTAATTGTCTATTATAATGATTTGATATGTCATCTATAACACGTGGTAACGATATTGGCTGAGTTAAATCATAGAAATAATGATTAGGTCTGATTTTTCTTTCTTGTTAGATAATCCAAAAGTATGTTTACATTTTAGCCGATCTGTACTTTTGTAATATATGCAGTAGAGATTAAGTGGCTAGAACAATTCTTAGTTAAGTGAATTTCATTGCTAATTTACTTGATTCATCTTCTCTCATTTCGCTTAATACTTTACAAGCAACTTTGACTTAAGTCTTGCGTTCCTATTTATAAATAACATATTTATTACACTAGAAGCGCAAGACTTATTTGTTGAATAGCTAACTATCGAAGTTTGATCGGGATTAGTTTTTGTTCTTCTGCAATTCTCAGTTACTATTAGTGATTTCATAATTATAAAATTATGTTATTAAATAAACTCTTATATTAAATTACTTGATAAATTAATATATTAATTTAAAGGATAAAATCCTTCACTTCAAAATTTTGACTTCTATAATTCTTTTTGATTTTTTTTTCTAAATATTCTAAAATTTCGCATTAATTGTAAAATTTATTTGAAATCATTAAAATAACATTCTAACAATGTAGTACAGGCTTTCTCCCTCTAATTCTTTTAACCTAATACTTCAGTTTAAATTATGATTGTGAATTTAATTGATAGCATTTATAAACAGAACAAAACTAAATATTAATTTTATGATTTTGATTGAAAAGTTGGAATTAAAATAAATAAAATTTATTAATTTATATGACTCATTCTTAATTAATATTCATTAGAGGGAATATATTATTTATGTTATTCTTCATCATATCAAAATGATTGTCACTTAGTCAATAAAATTATACCTTCAAATTGGACAACCAATCATTAATATTTAATTTTATTAAATGAATTGCAAGTATTTCATTAATAATTTATATTCAGATTAACAACAGTTAAGTGTGGCTTGATTTTTAAAGACATTGCCTGAAAAATAGATTAAATTTAGGGAGATGAGAAATTTAATTACTTGAAAAAATAAAGTGTGTTATTTTATTTAAATACTTGAAAAATTCGGTACTATAATCTTGAGTATAAAATTTAAAAATGGTTTTGAGATATTATGAAATTTAAACTTATATCTAGTTTTGGAAGATTTGAGAAATATTTCGTAGTAAAGGCATTGCCCATTTGAGTCTTGATGGTTGAAGTACATTCTACATTAAAAGAGATATGGAGAGTATTTAAATGAGAGGAATAGTGTGATTTATGAAATATTATTATTTTTAATGAACAAGAATTCACCGTCACCAAGCTCACCAACCCCTGTGATACTTGTGTTAGTCACCAATAAATAGGGGAAAGTATTAGAGCACAGCTAGTTCTTTAGAACATTCTCATCTTTCGGGCAAGTTAAAAAGGTATTTGTTTATTTTGATTTTCGTTTAGATACTTATATTCGAAAGAAAAATCATTTGGAAAGTTTTTATAGAGTATGAGAATGCTCAGCAGGCCCAATCAGCCTTAGTTTTGGATGGGACCCTCTTTGATTACTAACTTAAAATGAGAGTACACCTCAGTCAACGTGATTCTCTGGTGTTTTAGAATAATAACAATTGTGGTGTTGGTAAAATATTTCCCCTATCTTTTAGATTACACTACTTTACAATCAAAACAGCAGTTTTTCCAACAATTGAAGGAGGACTCAGGCTCTCTCAATCAATAACTACAATAGAATCTTGACATGCTCAATTAGCTTATTGCTCAGCTAAGCTAAACGGCAGATTTGAAAGAACAAATATCCCTAATCCAACAGATATAGGAGTACCGTAATCAAACTTAACAATTGACTGTTCTCTACCAGCAGCAATTACGCAATTATGCATCCGTTTTACAAAGGGAGGGAAAGAAATAAAAATAAATCGTATCCACTGTTACCACCCCTTCGCCCTCTCCCTTTTTGCACTCCACCTTGGATTCCATTAGGCAACAGATTCCAGAGGAGTCTTCAGAAGACGATAAGGAGGAGTTTTCTGATGGAGAGAGTATCTCCTCCCAATCTTCAGAAAAATCTTAGAAATCTACTCATTCAGAAGACAACTACAATGAAGTCTTTTGCAATGACTCCACAACTCCTTTTTCTTGTGGTGCCAGTCCCTTTACACCTTATCCCTAAAAAGTCATAACCAGTCCCTTCATAATGACTCCCACTACTCTCCCAACCTACTTAATAGTTCAGCATCCCAACATCAATCTACGTGTGGTGTATAACATCTTTAGTACATTCACAAGAGTAGACGCCATTTATTAAAGTCATCATGGAGCCTTTCTTCAACTGGCTTCTAAAGAAGAGGCAATTCGAATGAAAAATCTACTTGGCAAAGCCTTGCTTTTTGGAGCGCCAATCAATCTTATTGTTTCAGATCAACTTTCTCTTGACGCTCGCTTAATTACTTTGCCTCCTAATGAAAGAAAACCACTTCTATAGTAATAACTGTCGAACTCAATCTTGATCACTGGATTAAACGGAGTCACGATAGAGCAAATATATCAATATTTCGGGTGCATCACTCCCATCTTAAATATGAAGTATCCTATTTCAATACTATTTTTTCTAGATTCATTAATCAGAGCTCTTGTAAAATACTGTATTCAGATGTCGGATGCAGTCTAAGCGTCTTAGGATATATCCAAGATGCCAAGATTAATGGAAGGTATCAATATATATTATATACTTTAGATCTGTGTAACTTTCATTCACAGCTTTCTGATTAATGAATTCATTCAATATTATAATATTATTTTATCAAGCAATTAATCAATACAATTAAGTTATTTTATATACATTAATTTCATCAAATGAATCATCAAATCCAACAAGATATTTTCCACAATTTTTATAAAATTGTATAATTTATGATAATATATTTATAATGAAGATAATTTTCAGTAATTTGTTCAGAGATTTAATGTTAAATAATAATAAGAAACAATACCCTTTTGATATTCTTATCAAAAAGGTTTTGAATTGAGAAATCTAATTGAAATTTCAATGAATTTATTTGAATAAATGTTAGAATTATATTTCAAGAGTGACAAAACAATACTGAATGAATTAATTCATTAAATGTGTATACTCATCTCAATGATTAATGGTAACTCCTTTTTGAATTATTATTAAATCCAAATGAATAAGTCTAATAGAATTATAATATGACAAATATAGAGTAACATTGATAAATAATTTTGTACAACATTTATCTTTTCAAGAAATAATATTGCAACCATAATAAGATAATCAAATTATTTGAAATATAAATTTGAAAACGCGAATTATAAATAATAGCAATTATAAGAGTCAAAGAAATATATACAGATATCAAATAGGTTCACAACTTATATTTTATTGCAATTAAATTTAATTAATTTACTATAACAGAAATTAAAATGTCATAATCTAATTACAAAATAAGTAGTAAATGATGAGTATAAAATATTCAATTCTCAAAGCAAAAGAAAAAGGTTTATAAAAATACTATGTCAAGCTTTCAATGGATAAATTATCTATCTGATAGAATATTAATTTATTTATAAATAATTAGCTTTGTAATCAAGACCATAAAGGATATAAGATCAGTTTTTGCATTAATTGAGATTTTAATAGCTTATATCGAGATATTTAAATAAATTCATTTTATAATATTAGAATATCAGAAAAGAGGTAGACGGTTGGATTTTCAACAAATTTGGAATTGATGTAATTTAGAATGGGAAGATGTTAGGGCAATTATTGAAATAAGAATTTTTGAGTCATTTGAGATATCTAATAACTGATTGAATTTGAAGGGTTATGAAAACTTATCTATAATAATTGTGATATATATAAATGGATGATAATTTAAAGAAATTGATTGAATCTACCTAACCAGAATCTCTATCTACAATCAGACTATGTAAGAGATTAGGATATCGGCCAGAAGATTTAATATATAAGTATTTACAAACAATATTCTTTTAGATCAATAGATGAATTTTAATCTGTCAATCATGAGATGAGTCAAATGAAATATGATCATTACAAAGCTAAAGTGCTTAGTAAAATCTTAAATGTTAATCAACCTAGAAATAATAAATGAAATAAACAATGTGAGATGTAGAAATAAAACAACTGGTGTATCAGAGCTGCCTATTTAAGCCAATGTTTAATTATCGTCTATTGGTGATAATGTGCAAGAGTAATCCTAAAGCATATCTGTTAAGGAGAGAATGCTTTAGAATCTCATTTAATAAGAACTTCTTAGACAAAAAAAGTTTGCTTAATCTTATCAATAAAACAATAAAATTTAATAACACAAAACTAAATTGGCAACTTAGCCTTCTTAAACAATATCAATAAAATCTAAGCAATCTACTTAATCAGTGAAAACGGAATAGTCAAATAGAAGATGCGAGACTCATCGTGAGTTTGAGACAAAGTAGAAACTCTTAGCTAAATCTAATGAAAAATTTATAATAAATAGATAACAAATTTTACAAATAGAGGAGTAGTAAAAGGACGAATATCAACAAAAACTTAAAGATGAGGGTAATTACGTATTTATCATAGAAAAGAAAGCAGTAGGGAAAATAGAATAATTGAAATAGCATTAAAAAAAATATAAATTTGGAGAAGTTAAAAATAAGAAAGAGTAACTTGATAATGAATAATATTAATTGTTGATTAATAGAAAATATGAAAAATTGCAAAGGTTAAGTTTAAAGTAGACTCAATTGGACTAGCCTATCAAAAAGCAGATGTTGACGAGAAATAAGACTCAATCGTTGATTTATGATTCAGATATTTAACTCAGGATAGATTAGAAGATTGAGAGAGTTATGAATAAGAAATCTCAAATGCTTTCGGAACGATCAAAAATAGCAGGTGAGATTTTGAGGATCAATTAGGACGATGTGAATTTCAACAAATATTACAATGAGCAATTGAGAATTAGAGAAGAGAGTAAACGGATAGGATATATCGAGAGGAGTCGAAATACTTATTAAATTGGTATAGGATCTTAGTTGTTAGAGAAGCAAAAAAAGGAATCAGTTTGGGAACAGGTGAATCGAGTTAGTCATTTATTTTCAAATCCAGTAGAGTATGATAGATATAGAACTGAAATGAAGTTATTATTGAATAAACAAAGGGAAACAGAGATGAAAAATCAGAATCGCATAGATATATTATATAAATTGTCACCCTAGTAAATGGCAGAAAAAGTTTTATAATGATAAATTTCATATAATCTAACAAAATTGTTTACAGCAAGGATCGGACTCCTCTTTCTCTTCAATAAGATTATAGAGTTTCCAATTTTCCACGATGTGAATATCACACACTTATTGAGAAGGGATGATTTCGTCTCTGAAGCAGATGTGAAACTTTAATTTTTTATTGATTGGGTTTCCAAACTTATCAACTCTAACATCCTGATCTACTTCTGGATCTTCATCGTCATCAAAGTTTGATCTACAAAGCTCCTGAATATTTTGCAGTTTGTATTTAGGTCCTCGCATCATTTTATTAATTTATTATGACTTTATTTGAACTTATTAATATCCTGAATGAATGGCTAAGACATTTGATAGTTTAAAAACAAGAAATATAGTATTTTAAGTTAATCTAAAAGATCATATAAATTGATTTGTTGATAATAAAAATATTAGTAAAATTTTGATTTAAACCTAAATATTAAATATTACATTCTTAATGTATATATTAAATGAAGAACTCTAACATTCTACATTGTCATTCTCGATATTTGTGGATGAAAGGCATACTTAGTTAATGTTGATTAAATATATTTAGTTTAATGTGTATTAAATATATATAAGATCATCCATCATTTAATATTTGTGCTGATTGTTGTAGTAAACCTTGCAATGAGAAAGGGGACGTAGCTACATAAGGGGATTGATTGACTATTACTCTATTGAGTTACTTTTAGGGACTGGAGTAAGAGAATGTAGTTTAAACATCTTTGAGTAATTATAATTCTTTGGTTTAAGTATTGAGTTAACTTTTGAGGGTCTCACATTGCAATCTGAGACATTTTTGTTGGTCATGTTGATTAGTGGAACCACAAACACACTCTGTTGTTGGGTTGCAGATAGAGACATGAGTTATGAAATCTTTTTTGTATGTCTGTTAACTGCATTCTTGCTTAGGACAGGTGATAGTATTATATCCACATTTCTACTCGTGAATTCTCAAATCTGGATAGCAGAGTTCTTCAGAACAACCGTTGATTCTATTTTGACATGAGAATTTGACACTGGTGTACAATTTATGAAACATTTTTGGTAGTTAAGAAGTTAGGACTGTGACAACTTCACAATTAGGACAGAAACCTCTATAATTGATATCCTAAACATATTTAGTGTTCTTATTGATCAGAATGGTTTGAACTGTTATTTCGATCGGTTCAGGAATCTGATCATCTGCATAAGGGATGCATTTAAAGCAAAAGTTCTCATGACATTTAAGACATATCAATTATTGTAGTGACAGTGATTTGCAGCATTGACAGACGAGATGTGGCAGGAAAGTTGAAACTTTGGCGTAATTAGCAATTCTATTTTCAGGCAAAGGGAAATTCATTAAAGTATAATATTAATATTAATTATTAACAAACATATTGATCAAACCCTTTTAGCTTCTTGAAAGTGTTTGGCAAAGGTCTAAGCGACAACCAAAGGAAACACTAGAGTAGCCTCGGAGAATACTTTTACATACTCAGCATCCACTCTTAATTTACCCCAAGTGATTCCTTCTGATGGCTTGGCACCAGCATCACTTCCATCATATTCGATACCAGTATTAATGAATACTGCCAAATCTGCACCATTTCTCCAGATATTAGCATTCATTATATGGTGTTTAACCACTCCTCCTCCCAATATTACCAATCCTGATTTCTTTGAATACATGGCTTTCTTGTCTAACGCAACCACATCTCTTAGAATATCACAAATCAAGCCATCTTGCTTATAATTGAAGTGGAACATCATGTCTCCTATTGCTCCGTCTGTTAAAGCAGGACAATACACTGGAATATCATTTTTAGCACACCAATAATAGATTGATCTCTCATCATTGATTCTCTCCCCAAACCTTTTGATCATTGAGGATGGTGACCAAATAAACTTTTTCTCTTTTTATTCTATGTACATTTCTTAAAATACAGGGAGCAACCAATCTTCTAGTTTTCCATAGTTGGCTGCAGGAACATATATATTACCAATCCGACAAATAGCTTTTAATCTTATTTCTTTATCATTAGCTTACCAATCACCTTTGTGAAAAGTAGATATGCATTTCATGAGATCCTCTTCTATTGCTCCAGCTGTAGTGACTATGGCATCAATCATTTTATGCTAAGCCAAATACCTGATTATTTCTCTATTGCCTGAAGATACCATATTACTAGTGTAACCTAAAAATATTGTACATCTAGTATTGGGATCTTCATTCTCTTCGTTTGGACCCAATCTCCAATGAATCATTTTGTTGATTATTTCGATTGCTTTATTTAATTGAGTCGCTTATAATCCGAAGTTGGCATAAGAATTCAAGAGAGCATCAAAATCAACTCCTTGATTAAAATCATATCCTTTTATTTCAGGAGTAGTTACTGGTTCTGGTTATAGTTTATAGAGAATCTGATATTGCTCTTCTGCTTGTTTCATTTTAAATAATTAATGGTGAATTTATGAAATTAGATGTTATAATACAATTTATTAAGAATTATGGTTCTGATCAGATTATCGTCGTTTTTTTGTTGAACTTTTCAAATGCCTTATGGATTCGTATTATGCGAGCAGTCATAAACCTTATTATTATGATCTCTACTTAGTACGCAATTTAACAATGAGCAATACCACCAACAACAATGCCAGGATTATTAAACACCACAAATAGAATAAGTCGAAATATTTGCTACATTGCACTTATGTTCCACATGAATGGTATTCTTCTTGGATTAAACAACAATTATCGCAATTCAATTTGATGCAATGATTCTACTTAACTGATGATGTACATCTGAGTATATGGAACACTCGCTTTGATATTTAGAGCATTGATTCAGGTTGTTGCAACAAAGACTCTTACACAAAGAGGCATCTTCAGGAGACGAGCATTACATAATAAATTAATTAAAATCCTAGAGGTCTCAAAAAATAAATAGATTGAAAAAGTTAACGAAGTCTAGATTCCTATCAGTTTAACTATTTCATCTTGAATAATCTCATCAGTCATCGCTCATTATAACTATTTATCTAAACTCTTGCTGTCAAGTTATCTAGAACCAACTCTAAATTAGCAACAATCTCATTTATAACTTAATGATGTATTGAACTTCCTTAGAACAGATTGATTTTGGATAAAAATTGTTAATATCAGAAGGAAACAGCCTTTAAGTACTAATTCACTATGAAACAAAATAAATTCGAAAGGATTTCTAAAATAACAAAATCATTAGAATAATAATTGTAATTCCAATATATCGAAGAAATACAAGTCCTTTGATAGCTCAAGTAAGACCAAGTAGGTTAGAGGATACTTACAATTTGACCCTTCATTAGATCTTTAATGTTACATGGGATTAAATTATTCTGATTTCAATTAGGATAATTAAAATAAGGAAATTATATATTAAGAGAGTACGTTGATTCATTTAGGCCATAATTAGGATTGCTTAATATGAAGTTATTTACTAATGAATTTATTCGTTTTTATAATTATGAAATATTTCATTTTGACATTATTTGTTTTGAATGCATTTAGCTTCTCTTTGAACGATGATTGGGACGGTATGGAAGAAGCAGTCAAAGTTCAATAAGACGCGGTCTTGGTATAGAGAATAATTAAATAGGATCTAGTAGACTAGTTAGACTTATATTCAGAAACTCCGATCACAACTTAGATAGAGAATCAAGTATAGCAATTAATGAATCCTCCCCTTGAAGCTGATTAGGCAGAAAAGGAGAACGAATAGAGTGAGGAAGTACACTCTCTGGAATACTGGTTGGAGAGATTGGGAGATGAATATTAAGACGAAACTATATTGTTATAGCAACCATAATCAATTACAGAATAAATCACAACAGTTGTTGGCAATTTGGTTCTAAAAGTAGGAGATGCTAATCAATTAAAGCTAATTGCTGAATAAGCTGAAATTGCAGATCCCTTGATTATAGATGGAATTGAATTGGAATATTAGGATAAGAATGGTAACGAGAATGTTTAGATGCAGTAACTCTTAAACTCAGCTTTGGAAATGCAGAAATCATTGAGTTAAGAAGATGAAAAACAATAAAATGATCTAAATTCAAATTCCAAGAAGAAACATAAGAAGAAGAGACCGATCATCGATATTGATTTGAATGATATAACTATGTCAGAAGACGATGATTAAAATGAAATAGAAAAGACAATAGTGTAAGAAAATGACACTTCTGAAAATACTATTGAAGTCCAAATTGATTCCAATAATGAAGAACCATCAACTGAGACTATGTCTAAGTTTACTCCAAATGAAGAAACAATTAGTGAAGTTCAGGATAATAGTAGAATGTATAATTTCTTGAATGATGTTCATGAAGATGCTGGAAATGAGGATAATTAAGTTAAATAATAGCCTTAAAAGTCGTATAATTTCAAAGAATATTCTTTTAACAAATTTGAAGGAGATTAGAGATCTTTTTATAATGATAATGATGATTCTACATTAAAAGTAGTAGAAAGAGAATAACCAAAAGAAATTATTAATAATAATAATAATAATAATAATAATAATAATAGTAATAATAATTAAAATAACAATAACAATAATAATTACAATAATGATAATAATAATTACAATAACAATAACAATAACAATAATAATAATGATAATAATAATAATAATAATAATAATAATGGATTATAATTTTAAGAAGAAAATAAATCATATAAATTCATCAATAAAGAATAGTCAGAATAAAATTAGGGTTAATAATCTACATTAAATAATCAGGAGTAACCACAAGAAACTTCAATTCTTAAAAAATATTTATTATACACAGATCAACCAGAAGTGATATCCACAGGAACTACTGAAAAAGAGATTGAAGATGATAAAAAATTAGTTGCTGCCTTTAAATCTATGGATAGAGATGAGCATTGGGAAAAAACAAATAAAAAGCAAAAAATAAATACAGATGTTAGAAATGAACTATTGAGATGTATTCATTATAATAATAATCTATTAGTTACCAAAGTTGATGAGGAACCACAAAAGAAGGAACCTGAATTTAAAGAGGTTACAGAAAGCAAAGTGGAAAACCCCCATAAATTCATTTCATTTAAAGCTGATCCTCAGTATGAGTAGGCTGAGAATGCAAAGAAAAAAGAATTGGCTAAATCTAAATATGATGAACTACCAGAAACTAAACTCTAATCCAAAGAAGACATGAAGAGAGAGAAATAATAAAAAATACGTATCAATATAAATTCAATACTTAGAGGAAATGCAGAAAATTATTGAAGAATAATTGAAGAACAAGACTTTAAAAAAGAAGTCGGAAACTGACAAGTCTTTACAATATGAAAGTGAATATTTGCAATGGGAAAGAGCTACATAAGCTAAATCATACCCTGCTGAAATCAATTTTGTCATGACGTAAAATAATTTAAGAAAAAGATAATGATTAAAAAACTATAGCATAAACATACATCAGCAACAACCTCCCCCTTAATTTTATGACTCTTTCTTCTTTCCTTACTTCAAAGCACTTCTTGTATTGGGTTATTTCACTATTTACTTCAATTCTATAATTTCATAATATATTTACCATTAGCTAAGTGATCAAAAATTTCTGGTATTCCCTTACCAGATTTGGCTGAGACCAAAAAATGTTTTGCATTATATTGATTGCATAATTCATCAATTTCTAATAATTGTTATTTGACAGATAGTACATGATTATTCTACATCTTTATGAATGTGCATGTCACATTTATTGCCTACAATAACCAATAGCATATTATCATTTTCAGCCATTTACTTGAGTTCTTATATCCACTAGCGTCCTTTCTGCAATGTTTCTTTGACTGTGATATCATAGACTATGATGGCAGCATCTGAATTTCTATAATAAAGTGGAGCCAGACTGTGGTACTTCTCTTGGCCAGCGGTATCCTTAATGTAAATGACTTATAAGCTACCCATACGGCCAAATCAATTGGTCCTTTTTTAGTCTAAATTGTTTTCTCCTTGCAATAGCCATCAGAAGTTTCCTGAGTCTATTCAGAGAAGGAATTATCGAAGAATCGTGTTATGATTGATGTTTTACCCACTCTGCCTTCTCCTAGAGTAACTACTTTGTATACTCGATCTTCAAATTTTTGTTTTTTCATAACTTTATTATTTGATATAATAAAATGTGTATTAAAATAAATTCAAAATTCGAAATCTTTTATTTACTCTGTTGTGAATCTAAATTTTTATTATGTCTTTTGACAAATAAAATCATATTCAGTAATTTTTTATTTGAATTTGCATTTTTCACATACTATCATATTATCATCATTATACACCAACCTCGAATTGCAAGAGTGAATCCAATTATGATCCTAATGACATACTTGACATTTGAATTGGAAGATTGGATGATTCAATTAACTATACTATTTTTATTGTTCATTTTCTTCCTCAACAGGAGCCAACTTTTCACTATTCTTATGAGAAGAACGCTTCCTAAATCTTAATTTCATTTACTATAATTTCCTCAACTTATTTCGATTATTTCAAATACAAAAATTTATCATCACTACTATCATAAGAATTCTTAAAATATGGAGTGTTCGGCTATTCCAGACTGTGTTTCAATTGATTTGATTCTCCCAGATTTCTATTCTGCGGAGAATTCTTTTCACTACTCAAATACATTTCTAAAATCTCTTTCATCTCCCCACTTAACTCCTCATATTCTTCCTATTCCAACTATCTGTTTGTCGGTGATAAGAAACCATAAGCATTGTGAGGATTTTTTGAATTTTTATTGCTACAGCAAACGCCCATAAATAATTAATATATATATTTCAATTCAATAGGTTCAATTCTGTACCATCTATTACTCCTAATTCTTTTAGAGTCTTGTTAACATCTAGAACTTAACCATTCAATGCTAAATTTATGGTGTTGCCTTTGATATTATGTTATCTAACAAAATCCAAAATAATATCCCCTACTTTTTAATTAGGCTTGAACTATCTTTAATGTATTTGATTATTTTTTGTATTGATTTTTATGATCACCTTTATCGTTAGTGGAGATACAATTAAAAATTCAAATGTTACAGGAATAGGATCGGAAGGATTCAGAATAGTATTCCCTTTCCTAATAACAATGTCACTCTATTATTGAAATTATTGTATGATATGTTATCTTAGATCTTCCACCGTTTTATTTTTCTCGAATTCTATTTCATGTCTCTTGTCTTTAATGGAGATATTTAATAGGCATTTATTTTCTTGGTTATTTGGCTCTACTGGATTATTGATCTTAGCTTTTATATTCAATGTCAACTTTCCATTCTCTGCAATATCCTTTAACTTTTATTCATCTTTGGCTGCACTCTGATTACTTAATAATAGTTCTATTTCATTATCACCTCTAAGATTTAAAGCTTGTCTTACATCTTTGACTGTCTAATCTTCAAGCAATTCAATTTCTTATTACTAATTCTTTTCAATTACAATAACTTGAATCAACTACTAAACCTAATTTCTCAGAACTTCATACTCAATTGTATTAAGATCATAAAATTCTATTTCTGAAAAAGTCTTCTCTTAATTGATTTGATTGTTCTAAAAATAGAAATTGCATTTGTAATTTTCCAATTTTAAATTCTAAATCAGAATTGAAATTTTGGATTTGAAAATAATTTCAAAGTAAGATTCATCCTTTTTTATTCTATCAAATACTCTTACATTAATATAATCTTTAACTAAAATTTGGAACTCGCAAACATTCAAGGTATTCAATTGAACCTCTTCATTAAGAAGAGTATCGGGTTGATTTCTTACGCTGAAATCAATTGGTTGATTTTTAGGATAAGAATATTGAGATAAGAATGCTTGTTTCAAATCCGATATTGTTCTTGTAGGATTCATCTTAAACTCAATTTATTTGTCTTGGTTTATGATGTAAATCTTATATGTTTTGGTTTGTGTATCATTTTAGCCATTTTTAATAGGTACGATTTTATAACACTTCTTACATGCTGCCCATAATTTTTAACACAATAATTCACCTTGTACAGTTTCATTCCCGTATTATAGTTCAAAATCTTATGATTCATCAATTTAAAAATAATCTCTCAGATAATCAAGCAAATCAATAACACATTTGTCTCTTTTTTAATAGATGTCATAAAGATTATCCTTGTATTACACTTACAATAGAATCTATTTGGGTTGATAAAATATCAAATCATTCTAAATTTATAGAGCAGCAAAGGTTTATTCGATATCATCAATAGTTTAATTTTTACAACTCACCCAAACTTCATTGCTTTCTCTTCCTGTCAAATCATAAATGTATTTGGATAGTAATTCATTAGATAATGCTTAAATTTGGACTGGGTTTTGTTACTCAAGATTTTAGAACTTAAGTAAAAGCTATACGCCCTCTATTGGTTTATATTCAATAACAGTGTCATTTTGTGTGATTTTTAATTAACGGAAAGTTTCTTTCTTGTCTAATTATCTGCCTTAATAAAAGTATTCCATTTATTTATTATTGAATACTTATTTATCTATTAATGACAATTATTCATCTAATGAGATTTTAATTTTCTTCTTGAGTTCTGGTTTTTCTTTATGTTGGAAGCAAATTTAGATTTTCTCCGGCATATTAGCAACAATCAATTTGATGACATCATTATTCACAATTTAGCATTGATTGATAGTGTAGTTATTAGACAATTCAATGTTGTTGAAGACCAATTTCACATTGACTTAAGAATAACTTTGAGGGAAAAAGGAGGTTTTGATTTTATTCATTAGTGTTCCTATTGTTTCATCTTTGAGTATTGTCATTTATCGAGTAACTTGGTCATGAACAATGGAGATAGTAACTTATTTATTATTTTGAATTTCTACAATGCGTAATTTTAATTCTGTGTTGGGGCTCACTTGATATAAATAGAAAGGGTCATCTTTATTCATTTAATCTATTTGGATCCATTCACTATCTATATTTATCATTTGGCTGATTGTTTTGCATAAATTCGACACCGAATTGGTAATATCAATTTCGAGTTGATATTATTATGAATCGTAAATGAATTAATGTTATGAGAATATCTAATATGTTAAATTTTCCCAAGGTGCTACTTCGATTAAATTTCTCCCACTGTTAAGGATTTAGTCGTTCATGGAAAAGCGAACCTCATAATCTTATCTAAAGTTTAATTTCTTAAGTAGAATAGAACCTAATTCATTCATGGTATTGGTAACATCACATTTTAGATTTTGGTTGTCCAATTTCTCATTATGGACAGTGACTACAATTTTCTCAATGAATTCTAATTCAACTTCTTGAAGCTAGGAGATTCCCTATTGATCAAAAGTTTTAGAATAGTCTAAACTTTTTCCTTTAAAAAATAGCTTCGGATTGGGTGTATTTCTGGGCAATTTCAAGTCAAAAATTAATTTGTTTATTATGTCAATTACTTTTTATTCTGGTTTGTAATCTGCCTAGAATTTTAATTTTGTATTCCTTAGTTTAATATCGATATATCTCACATTCATTTAATTTATATTAGTTATTTATGTAGTATATTTATTTATTTATTAACTGTCAAAAATGCTAGTTTCACAACATCGATAGTTGCCAGCCCCCTCCAGAGAACTACCTTCCAATTTGAGTTAAGCTCATTTCGATTAGAAGATGAGATTCCAATAGTAACATATTCAAGCACGGGTGATTGAGGAAAGACCCAATTTCCAAGAGATGTAAGGAGGATAACCACCCATGAAACCTTGGTTAGGAGAAGATGTTTATATGGTAGCATTTCTGTTGTCAGTGGAAAATGATAGATTGAGAGAGGAGAATGGAAGGATTGGAGAATATGTCAATTAGAATGAATTGAGATTCAAGGGAGTAGATTTAATTGAAGGCGAATTAATACAATTGAGAAATAAAATAGGAGATTATGAGAAAAAGATTGCTTAACTACAATATGAAAGTGAATAATGGAGAGTGAAGTTTGTTAATAGAGAGAAGGAAAGTGAAGATTAACGCTATTAGAAGGAATTACAGAGAAGGATTTCTATAGATAGAGAAATAAGGGAATTGACAGCCAGATTTATATCAGATAGGAATCAATTGGAAAAGGAGAATAGACAATTGAGAACTGAATTGGATAGTCTGAAACTATCTAAAAGCAGTGTAGATGATATAATGAGATAAGCAGATATGGTTTAGAAAGAAAATCAAAGATTGAAATAAGAATTAGACAATCTTAGAAAGGGGTTTGATGAATTAGAGTATGTCCTTAAGACAGCTGCAGACTTGGAGACTGAAAACACTCATCTAAAACAACAAATAGAGAATCTCTAAGTCTAATTCTAGAACCAACAGTAACAGCAAATGTAGCCAATTCAAAGAGTTGTCGTCAATTCAACAAATTTATGTAAGACAAATATTTAATGACTTAGAAAATTCGCATAATTTAGAATCAGAAAATAAGAGATTAAGAGATGAAAATGATAGACTGAAGGTAATAGTAAATCTAGGTCAAGCCACTAGACCTTAACCATTTATGTGATACATTATATATTATTTACTTATTTACATTTATATCAAAAAAAGATTTCAAATTTTCCATTTTAAGCAATCTAGATGTCTGAGAAACACTTATCTGGATTTATTGTTTCACCTTCATAGAACAATTCTGCATCTTTCAAATTATATTTTAATTCAAATTCCTGTAAGAATGTCTTAACTTATTGATTCAACTTCACATATTCAGTGTACTCCTTGTCATCCGAATCTACCAGAATAATTTTGATCAAATTATTGCCCGTTTTGTATATTAGTTCAATCTCATTGTTAATATTATGTAAAGATTTCAAAACGACATCATTGGATAACGCTTATGCCTAATCTATTAATTAATAAAGATAATAATTCTCTTGATTCAGATTCAGGTGTTCCTTGAGAAGTTAAACAGTCATATCCTTATCAATAGATAAAGTTCTAATCTTATTATCGATATGCAATATCAATGTACTCTCTAACTCTTCGATTTATAATTCTGAAAAATCTGGCACTCCTACTTCTGCCAATGTACTGTCCTAATTGATTTCTTTCTCTAAATAATACACTCTTATCTTGTTTGGATGATTCGGGCTAAGAATCTAACTGATTTTCTTGTCCACTCTGCAAGTTTTTTAATACTACACTTCCTTTGCTTCATAGCTCATAAATTTAATGGTCACTAATAAAATATAGTAAAGTTAAGCAGTATTTTAAATCTATTCATCTCGAAATGAGTTTTAAATGTTTATCTCACGATTGCCCTCATAAATTACAAACTTCCCCTTGATATGAGTCTTAATTGTATTACTAATGATTTCTTCAGGATAGAATTCTATATCCACCCTGTTTTGATTGTTATTGAATTCAAACAATTATGCTCTACTAGTACATTCTATAGTAATAACTGTATTTGGGTCTAAGTTTAGATTGATTAACTTAATAGTTGGATCCATTAAGTTATTGGCTATATAACATCTTGAATTTCCTTTTGCTATTTTTTTCAGCATCATTCCCAATGTGTCTTTCTTATAAAATTTATCCTCATAGACACTTTAATGGCCTTAGAATTTATATTTGACATTCACATTCCTTTTTGAAATCCTAAGCACCTTACCAATAAATGCTGACAATTCCTCCTCATCCTTTATATCTTCATTGTCGTCGACATCAACACAAACATCATCCTAGAATAACTCTGTGTATTGAGACTTCAGTTCTTTCACTTTTTCTGTCTCATAGAATCTGGATTCTGATTGTTCTATATTGTTATCCAACAATAATTCGATTTTAAAGTAAAACGCCTTACTTACTGTAAACACTACATTATTTCTATAATTCTTGATGTATTCATAATCCTGTAAATCATATCCATCTAGTATTATTTTGCATTCATATGTAATCTTAAATTAGTTTATCACTTTCTCTTTTAGTTCCTTCACTGTGTCCAGATAATGAATGCATATTTCTTATATTTATCTCTGATTTTGATACCAAATCTACAATTATATTACCATGTCTGACAAACAATATTCAATAATATCCCCATCTTAGATCCCTTCTGACCTATATGTGCCATTCAAATCAATCAATTAGCCTTTCTTATACGCTTTTATTCTCAAATTATCATACTTAATATTCATCTCTAATTCAGTATTGATGGTATCTTCCGATTTCACCTGCTTTGTAAACGTTTTCCCTTCTTCGTCTTTGAAGGTGACGTTAAGGTATTCAAAATTCTATATCATCTAATACTAAATCAAATACTCATTTTCTTTAAATTTGATACTATTAAAAATTAATCCATCAGTGATTTCGAGTATATTACCATTAACATAGAATTAGAATACCTTCCCTTTAAAAATTTAAGACTCCAAAATGGTTGAAAAAAAATCTAAATTGGATACCTATTTTTAAAAATGAACTTGCTCTTACAATTTACTTACAAATTTTATTACCATAGCCCTTTCTTAAATTTTATTTGTTATCTTAAATTCAGCATTATCTGATAAATCTAGGTTTCCAATTTTGGTGTTATTTTCTAACAGTTTGTTAAGATGATGGACTTATAAAATTTGATTTTAATGAATTTACTCAAGTTACTTGTAGTATTTAGCTAACTACTCTATAGTCATATTAACAGAAACATTAAATTTATATATTTTGTTCTAATACGAAATTTAAATCCTTTGCATGTTCTTCATTTTTAATTCCAATTCTGCATTCTAATGAATGTTGTAGTAAAAATATGTCCGTTCATCTTCCAATTATTGACCTCTGAAATATAATTCTATTTCCTCTTCAATACCAAGCTTTTGTCTAATCTTCTACTTTATTTTATCGAAATGCGAAAAAGCATCAATCTAAAACAATTATAGTTTATCATTATATCTAATATAAAAAATCGCCTAAACAAAATAGAATATTTCTTATTAATAAAAGAATATTTGGCAGAGGAATAGATTTCTGTCTAAAATTTTTTTTTTCTTTAGAATTTTAATTGGGTATTCTTCACTTTTTATTGAATTTGCAATTTTTTTTTCGATTTCTATTAATTACTTACATATATCCACTTTATCCAATATAAGCTTATATTTTTCATCCTTATCAATGTGTTATATAGAGAAGTTTTCTATTACATCTGAAAAATTGATCTCTATCACATTATTTTTGACTGAATTTAAGTCATAGTTTAGATCTCTGATATGATTGTCAACAGAGATATACAATTTCGCTTTCGCAGGAAATCCTTTTTGTTAATTTAGGAATTGAACAACGTCACTGATTTTTTCTGAAGGAAATTTAGGCTCATATTCCAATTTGAATGTGTTGTTATTCACAATGATCTCGTATTTTTTCATCGACATGTATATTTTTATTTAATATATATTATAATACAGATTAAATTTCTAATTCATAAATCTATTACATAAGTACGACGCATTTAAAATGCTCATATATTCTGATTTACAAATAATTTTTATACAATTGAGACTCATTTCTTGTTTCATCTACATCAAAATACCAAAATACCAAGGATTGTTTCAAATATTTATTGTTGTAAATAATTTATATTCAATTAGAATACTATATAAAACTATTGATAAATATTTGGTAATTTATTTATGCATTCTAGAATTTTAGTTTAAACTTAAATCGAAAACAAATAAATAATAAATAGTATTCAGTTCCCATTTTAAATTATGATTCACATTTAACTAAGAATGCCGCGATACATATTGAATAAATGAAATTTCACAATTTGAAGGGGTAATATTTTTTTTTGTTACCAAATTTAGATACTGTGTTTGATTTTCCTTAATAATCGATTAATTTTAGAAGGCGTTGGAAATTATAATAATTAATTTACAAAAAAAAGAGTTTAATCACTTAATATCATCTAACTTATACCTCATAAATCCATTTTCATACAATTTACTTCATTAACTACGATATATCTATCGTGTTACCAAATAATACCATACAGTTCGATCTTTATAAAATAATAATAAAATCATTATCTGCTTTAAAATTAATATGTCTGAAAGTGAAATTTCATTTGATTTCAACGAGGATGATCCTGTAGAGGAAGTCAAGTCATCTTACCTGTAAACCAAACCAGAGGGATAAATTATGTCATTTACTAAAAGTGATAAGAAGGACAAAAAAGAAAAGTTAAAGCAATTACAATTTACTATGCAAGGGTAGAATTCTAGCAAACAGCAAATGACAAAGGATTTGTTATTTCTATTAAAATTTGAATAGCATATGTTGAGCTCAATTAATAGTTTGCATTAGAGGATTATGAGATCTTTAGAAACTGAAGCTCCTGGGAATTGAACTCATTTATAAATGTTATTACATCTATAGTTTGCTTTATAATTTATACTTCAATTACTGATTTAAAAATGAAAATTATAATTTTATATATCGAGCAATTGAAATCATCTTTTTTTTAAAGGAGGCAACTCTAACTTTTGCCTTACAATTTACCTAGATTTAGCTGTATTGTCATTCAAAATCTTATCGATTGTTTTTGGTCTCACTGGAGCCTTTTGTTAAAAGCACTTTTTGAATGAAGCTATTGTATACTTCTAATCTTCTAGTGTGGTTAAATTCTCAAAAGAAGTCTTTGGCTTTGATTTTGATTTTGAATTTTACATTTATTTCTAATCTTTTGGACTTCTAGACCTCAAATTTTTTATTTTTTGAATATTTGAAACCATTGTTAATTTTTATGATTTAGGATTGGGTATGGATTAATACTCCTACAAAAGTTTTTTCTTATCACTTAACTTTTATATTATCTCATCATTTGGATAAGGTTGTTAGATGGGGCAATTTTTCATTAGATATTGTAAAAAGAATAGTAATTTAAATGACTATTTTAATAGTTAAAGTAATTACATTCCGAATTTACTGATCCTTAATAAACTATGAAATTTGCTCATTATAAGTTAATGGAATTTTATCTTAGAAATTTCGAGTAATCCAAGGATGAATCAATGCTTATCCGACACTATATCTTTCAATGGGTTCTATGGTAGTTAATTTTTAGATTAGATCTTTTGCTAATGGGCTCATGTGATCTGAGAATTGCAATATCGGATTCATAATTTTATTGATCACTTAATCTCTAGTGTCGTTATAATTATAAAATGGATGCTAACCAGAATTCAGTAACATATACATTATAATTCCGCAACTCCAAGAGTCAATTTATTTACTATACTACCTATTAATTAGAATTTAGTACAAATTTCTCTTTAAATTACTCAGGAGCCATATAAATGACAGTTCCACATTTTTTATTTAGCAAACTATAGAACATACCTTCAGATGCAAACTTGAAACTTAAGCCAAAATCAGCAATCTTCACAGTCCTTATGTCCTTTGTGGCAAACATGATGTTTTCTGGTTTTAAGTCTCTATGAATGATTTTTTTCTCATGTAAATAGTGAACAGCCAATAGAATTCCTTTCATAATAATAGCGATGTCCTCATCATTATGTTCTTAATTCATACGCTGAGCCAATGTTCCTCCTTTCATGAGTTCCATAATTAAAAAAAATTAATTCTTATTTTCTGTTATCTTCATAAGAAATCTAAAGTACTCTTTTGCATTAGACTATATGAGGATGATTTAACTACTAATAAATATCTGATTCAACTTATGCATCTTTGAAAAGTGTTTTAGAAACAACCTTAATAATTACAACAGTATTTAACCTTGACAGCACACTCTGTATTATCTGTAAAGTCTATTGCCTTATACACTTTTCCAAAGCATCCCTCTCCGATCTTTGCTATTTCTTTTATTTAATACATTTCTTGTAGAAAATCTACATCCTCCCCTTAGAGCATTTAATTTATAATTAACAATATTATTATAATTAGAATAATAAAAATAAAAATAATTTTAGACCAAATAAAGGCAGCATAACAATTAAAATTCAATTTTTACCTTTCCTTAAAATTTTGATTTCAGATGGTTCATGGTAATAAAGCTATTCCTCATATATAATGTTCTCATTAGAATTATAGTTTATACTCTTTACCATGGAAGTCAAATTCAAAACTTAGTTCTTATATATAAGTCTATTAATCTTGATACCTAGTTTATTAATGATGCTTTCAAAGCTCTCATCCAAATCTGTTTATACCTTTTGTATTGCTCCACTACGAGCGTTTTAAAAAATCAAGAGTAATTATTGAGATTTATACCTTATTATGAAATTATTTTCTAAAGGCAAATCTATTAAATTTTTATCTATTTATAAGGGAGAATTATTAAAAGTAAAGTTAGTCCCAAATATCTATTTATCTTTTAGAGTACGCTCCAAAGTGTGCTCTAGTTCTGCTTCAACTATTTATCCTACCCCACTCTAATTCACAAATTGCAAGGTTAAGGTAGTTTTAAATTTAACAATCAAGTTTGAATGAGTTTGATTAATTAACTTATTAATTTAATAGATAGTTTCATTTTCATTGACCTGTTACTCCCCTACAAAGAACTGGAGTACTTAAACTCTTGGTGATTGAAATCTGGATTTGAGTATCTGGCAAATAGACTTTGCTGTTTAATTCTATTTCAGATAAAGATGAGTGCAACAATTAATTCTATTGATATATACACATAATTCTATTTAATCTTCTTCAGATTGCATGACATTTTCGACTTGAAATTCAAATTTAAAAGTTTTGTTTCCCTTTAAGAATTCAATCAATGACAAATTTTTATCTTAAGGTTTTATATCCTGGAGATATAATTGTTGATTAAGATTATTCGATGTTTTAATTTGTTGTTCTATTGAAGAAATAGGTAGGTTTTAATTGACAATTGCCTCTAAAGTTTGGCCTTACACCTAGGCTTGAAATATCACAAAATCAGTGAAATAATTTATGATGGAATTTGAACCAATATTTAATTCATCAAATCTCTTTTTAAGATCAAGTAATTAATCACCTAAATATGCCTTATAGTATTTTGAATCCTTTAGAGTTTCAGTCTAAATAATGTCTTAAAAAGCATCGATTATGGCACAAGTAGAGGAAATTCTAATTTATTTAGACGATTTAGTGTATTTATTTTGAAAAGTGATTGTGATTTAAGATATTTCTTCACTTGGCATATGTAAGTTTTAGTGTATAATTTATAATTAATCTTTACTTAAATCCTAATATAAATCTTATTGTTAATCTTATTTTATTATCTAATACTTAATAATGCATTCTGATTTCAAATCTAGTTATTTCAAATTGAATTTTCTATCTTTTATTTATTCTTCTACAAAATATTAAATTGTTTCAGTGTGTTTGTCATGATTTATAAAGATATCCAAATCAGCTAAGGTTGAATTCACAGCCACTCTCTCGTATTGCTTCATAGATTATTCATTTTGCAATAAGATATTAATCTTATTGTCAGGAGGTTGTTTGATGAGAGTCAATTCACTATATAAGGGAATGCATTCTTGTTTTAGAGTATTACTTATATCAAGAAGATCTTTCTTAAGTTTGTATTCTAATGTTAATGGAATATTATTTTCAATTTTAAACTTTTGTCTAGCCTCGCGTATTAAATCAAATACTTCCACACTCCCTGGTAAAGTGATCAATATATTGTCGTGATCTTACAATGCTATATTATAAATGAACTCCTATCGAAACTCTACCTCCCATGGTTAGTCTGTCGGCATGTTTAAGTTTATATACAATAAATCAGGATTTAAGTTTGTCTTATCATATTTTAAAGTAATTAGTTCATCATCAATGTTCTTATTGTTTTTGAATTAATTAATAAATGTAGCAATTGGTTAAAAGATGTCAATTGTAATTTCCATAATCTATTCCTTGTACAATATTTGTTAGTGCTTTTTGATTTGAATATAAACTTTAATATTTTAATATACTCCATATTTCCCCCATGATTCTGAACCAAATTAGTTCCCGTTCTCTGAGTTAATTATCTATACCTCACATTATTTGATCTTGATTAAGTTAGAAATATGAATTCTAAACTTGTTGACTGATTCATATGCATCTGTCGCAAAATTTATAGTTCCTAAATATTCATGATCACATTGAATTATTATATTTTTTGATAAAATAACATCCACTTATGAGTATGAATTAATGTCAAGGTCTTAAATAGTTTTATTAATATCAGCTACAATATTATCAATTTTCAAAGTGCTTTGTAAACTATCTCTATCCTATTTAGCAATATTCAATTTGTTAAATAATTAATGCAAAATGTTTTACCCTGTTTAATGTGGTTAAATTGAAATAGATTCTACTATGTTGAGTTGTTTAACTTATACATTTATTTTAATCATCTCGAGTTGAGAAATTTATAAACAAATTTCTATTAAATTTATAAATAAATATATTTAACACCACTTTAAAAGAACTTTTCTCAAATTTTTGTAAGAAACCATAGCACTAGATGTTAATAAATTACAATTTCAGAATTTGCAGCTAACGGATTCAGATTTAGAAATATTTTTAATAACAATTAATAAAAATAATATAACATTTCTTCTATTTTTTACTATATCTATAATGAATTGTTCAAGTGATCTTAGAGAACTATCTAAATATGATGACATAATCTGATTAATTTGATAAATTTTAACAATTCATTGAATCTTAATCATATTACATATTATAGTAAGATTTGTTGATATTTCAATTTCATTTTTTTCAAAATCAAAGAATCCATATTTGTATTTTATTAATTGGTTAGTAGGTGAATTTGTCAATTAAATCATTATATTTTGTTTTAGTAGTTTTCACACATTCTCAACCTGAATAAAGAATATAAAATTAGTTAAGATTATTAATTAATAATTAACTGCTTATTATTTCTATTTGATCATTCAATTCTGGATTACTTAATTATGTGATACTTAAATTGTAATATATTAAAATAGTTTATAGAAATTATATGATTTATCAATAAAATTAAATACATTATAGTATAAATGAAAATTGTGGGAATATAATATTTTATTTTAATACAATTTGTAAGTACAAATTATTTAGTTAATATAAATGAATTCTGATTGATTATGTTGCACAATTTAAATAAATTTAAAATAAATATATTAAAACATTTATTACCCTTTAGGATGAAAAAACTGAATAATTTATAATAAAAGTAAAATATATTATATAACTCGATGTAAACAAAAAATATAGTCACTATACTGATTCACTTCAACGTGTTCAGCAGTCGGAATCAAGTTCATCATTGATATCATTCGATCTTTAGCTTTCATAGGGTTGATCTTCTGGAAGAGAATTCATGTGGCTATACTCACTAAATGGTAGTTAAATTCAAATTACCTTCCCATAACTTAATCCCATCTATAACGAAGGTATTTGTAGTAACGATTCTTCACCATGCTGACACTCTTGCCTGGAAATGACTTTGATATTTTATAAAACTTTGGTCCTATCTTAAGAACAAGCTCCAAAATTCTCTTATCTTCAACATTAGAGAAAGGATGGGCGTTAGATTTGGGTTTCTCCATGACAAGACACACCTTCAATCCATTTTCTTTTATGTGGATAATAGGTTTAGGGGCAGGGCGCTTCTTTTTCTTGTGATAGGTGTATTATATTCTTTTTGGAGGACGTCTTCTTTGAATTGGTAATTTTATTTTTTGAATTTCTTGCTGTTGTGGAGTCGATAAATTCGAATCTAACGAAAGACTTATGATATATTATTTACCTTAATCTACACAAGTGCTTAACCCTTGATCCGACAAAATAAGAGTATTTGGAGAACTCACAAGACCAAATAGTTCAGGCTCTTCTTCAAACAATTCTAGTTTTTATTCTTCGTATGTATCCACAAAGTTTATCATTTGATTTTTTTATGATTATTAATGATTTTTTATTTTAATTTTAATTGCAATTTATAGAGTTGAATATCAGTTTTAATGACGAAAGGTATTTATTATTGAAAAAATCAATTAACTTAAATTAATTCAATTTACTTGATTTATAAGATCTAAATTCTTAAGAATTCCAGAACATTTTAATTGTTCTTTTTCAATTTCAAAATCTTTTTACTTTTTTCACTTTTTCCAAGTACTTAAAAAGATAATTAATAAATTTTCATCCATATTTGGTTGATTTCTGTAAATCAATGAATCTCAGCTGCTTTTCCAAAAATTGTAAAAATACCTTCCTATCCCTTTAAATTCAAGAAATAATCAAAAATTGAAATCAATTCGATAATTTAATTAATAAAATCCAAATAACTCATCACAGAATATGCAAATTTCTATTAATAACCAAATTCGAAAAAACTGTATATTTATGATATCACAAAAATAAGTTTATTTAGAAATTTATTTTACTTTGGTTCAATTTGCATTGCAGTCGTTTTTTTCCTATTTACTGAGAGTTCATAAATGAGAAAACTACAATAGATCCTTTAATCAAAAATCTCTTGAAAAATCAATGTTTCATATGTCGATAACATACCAACAGCTTAAATTTTATGAATGAATCATTTCGAAAAAAAATCCTATTTGTAATAACTAAATAGATTAAAACAATGTAATATATCTGATTATAATCTGTAAAATTGACAAATTTAAATCAAAACTTGATTCCAACTTTTCACTTCAGTAGGGTAGCAATATTTAAATTGTTAGCTTGCTAGCTATTTAGTTTAAAATAATAAATCCACAAAGAAAGAGTATATACATGATATTACTAATTCTTTATTTTCAATCTTTTTTTAAATATATTTGTTGAGACTTCAATTATAAACTGAATAGAGGATTTTTCTAATTATTATATCTAGATATCCACTTTCTTGAAGTTATTTTATCTTAGGGGATTTAGAATGGGAGCATTTTCTAAATCAAATGTGAAGATCTTGGTTTAATACTTAGGGTTTTTAAAAATTTTATCCTTTATATGCTTATAATGATTATGATGATTAATCCGCTTTTTTTCACAGACGCTGGAAAGTTCTAATATATTATAAGAGGGTTTACTGTAAACTATAAGGTTTCTAATTACTTCCACTCAAAGATAAAAATGATAAGCAAATTGATCAAAATAAAATCGGATCTTTAATAGAAACCAAAGGAATCAGTAATGTCTTATATTTGCTTAAAAAGATGCAAACAATTAGAATGTATATAAATCTTGAAATATTGAATAAATTATATAGAATTTGAATTCAAAACTTTCCTTATTAATATTAAAATAGATCTGCCATATCTTCATCTTCGTCTTCCTCTTATAAATTTATATCCTCTTTTATTTCACTATTTTATTTATTGACGGCACAAAAATTTATCTTTTGGATTTTTGGACTATCAGAAATTTTCATAGGAGCTTCTTCATCCATTTAAGGTTGCTATTTAGGTGGTTATTATTTTTCGTCATCTCCTTTAAATAAAGATGCTACCTTATCAAAAAAACTAGGTTGTTATTATTATTATTATTATTATTATTATTATTAAGGTAGGTTAGAGTGAGATGATAATTTTTCCCTTTTAACATCTCTAAGTTCTTATCTACACATTGTTGTTTATAATTTAAAATTGTGTGTTTGAAAACTCCTATTTTTCTCTTGGTTAGCCAAATTTTTATTAATGTTAGCATTTGTTTGGATGTAACCATCCCATTATTAATTATAAGACTATGCTTGTTAATAATTTCCCTGCTTAGCTATCTATGCTGTCTTTTATGTCATTCGTTTATGAATTACATCTACTTCAGCCTCTTCTTCTGCTTCCTTCGCATTTTCTGTAGTTGAGACCTGCTTAGTAACTACTCTCATAAGTTTATCACCATGTAAATTTGTGTAAGTAACTTTAAGTTAAAATGGAACAGTTTTTAATTCCTTGATATCAATCTATTCTTTTTGTAACTCCAAATCATTTTTTAATTAATATTCAAATGTTTAAGTAGTAGCAATAGTAGCGTTACCAATGTCTCTTTTAAGTTTATGATTCAGATTGGGATCATCTTCTCCTCTAAACTTCAAAGCACGATGCAAGCTTACAAACAACTGAACTTAAGTTCCTACTAGTTCATCTTTTAAAATATTGGCAAAATCCTTTTCAATATCTTCAGGCTTAACTCTAGTAATGGTTCCATTAGTTTTTTCAGACAAAGCTCCCAAGATGTCAACTTTGCATCCTTCTCCTTTTATGGTTACAACTGAAATCACTACTCCACATTATGTAGCAAAGTCACCCAAATCTTCATAAAATTACTTATTAGCATCATTTTCCAAAGATCCCAATCCCAAATTGGCTAATCCGTCTGTGCATATAATAATCATGGATCCAGGTTTGCCTATTTTAGCTAATTGCAAAGCTGAAACCAAAGCAGGACCTAAAGCAGTCTATCCTTTTTCTTAGAGTTTCTCAAATTTCTTCAAGAGACTATCAGCTTGAACTTTAACTGGAGATTTCATGAGTTAGTTTGCAGTTCCATCTAAGAGAGCCTCTATTTCATCTTACTTAAAGAGTCTATCTCCAGCAATAGTAATTGGAACTTCAGAACCATCCCCATATACAACAACTTCATTATTAAATGTGACTAATCCAACTATTTTATTGGGATTCTTCTACTTTAATTCTCCTATTTGTTATTCAATAGCTGCCATAACACATTATTTTCTAGAAACATGAGTCACATGCTTGGTATTAAATTATGGCCATATCTAATGTTCGTCTCCCGGTTCAATGAATTATTTAAGCATTTCATACTCTTCAGCAGATACTCCATGTTTAAAATTGACCTTCCCCTTTATTTCAACAGTACTAGACATTGAACCACTGGTATCAATACAAAATACTATAGAGTTATCAGCATCTTCTATTTGAATTTATTATTCTTAGGATGATTAAATCAGGTAAACAGTGTCTTCATTTTTAGGTATTTCTTCCTTTTCAATTTAAATGTAATTCTTATGATTGCAAAACTCACATATCCAAAGATGCTTTCCAAATTATTGATTTTAAACGTCATCTTCGATTTTTGAGTATTTATTGAGAACAGTTTCGCATTGTTAACATAGAATAGGATCTCCTTGATGTATTTTAACAACATTTTCTTTCAAGCAGTCAAACTTAACTTGGAAGATATTGGTATCGACATCATCTTTAGTAATGGATAAAAAATTTACATTAATTATCAAAGGTCCTTCTTTTCAGATAGGCCTTATTGGAACACATTGCCATCATGGTTTTTGGATGAATAAATTAATAAATTATCAAGGATTAATCGATTATATAGTACTACAGCCTGATAAATACTATTATTAATAATTATAGATATAAATAATTATGTAAAAGTAGAAGAATCAAACTTACAAAGATTCCCACACGTTGGAAGATAGAAAGAAAAGAGTGTAGGAGCAACTAGCAAAATATCCTGAAATGATTCCCATAATTGTGGAAAAGATTCCAGGTTGTAAATTACCTTAATTGCAAAAAGTGAAGTAACTTTATTTAAATGATTGGATATAGATTTTTGGTGAACTCTAGTTTCTCTTTTAACGAATTCAAAAATACAATCAAAAAGAAATTGAATTTAGATGAGAAAACTTCAACTCTATTTATGTATTGCGGAAAAAATTTAATGAATGAACGTACTTCTTATAATCAATAATTAGATGATAAACTAAAAAACATTTACGATTAATACAAAGATCCAGAAGATGGATTCCTCTATTTGCATTATGCAGATGCAGAAACCTTTGGTTTTTGATTTAATAATAATCTATATAATAATTTATTCAAGCACCCTCCTTTTCGTCTATTCTCTTTAGAACATCAACTTTGGGCACCTCAAAACTCAGGTGAATTGTGTGTTTATCTAGAATGATCAAATCTATTACCTTCTTCACTGTATTTGCCGATCATTTTCTTTAAATTTTGTTATCTCCAATTATTATAATTCTTTAATTATTCCTCGAATTCCCGAATGGATAGTCGTAAGTACTGCTATTGCATCTCGTTAATCTCAACTTCATGTTTATCTATATTATTATCAATTATTTCTTACAACTCAACTTCTTGTGCATAACTGGTCGAGGAACGATCACTGGCTTTAATTAATTCTACTTTTATTAGGATTCGTCCTATTCTGAAATCATTCTCTCTAATTTCAACTACTCCATCATTTTTGGTTCCTCCTGTTGTTGCATCTTTAACTCCTATTCTTTTCTCAATTTCTTATGCACCATCTTTAGATAATAACTTTGATGATCCTATTAATATTCTCTCTGATTCTCATTAATCTTGGCTTGTTCCAATTTGCTTAGGAATCTCAAGTATTTCATGTAGATATAATCAGACTAAATCAATATTCACACACCTTACAATCAATTGTTATTGTGGCTACCTGTTCTCGAAGTAACTCTAATTCTTCTTTGGCCTATTAATCAACGTGTATTGCTGTATAATCTATCTAACCATTATCATTAAGTACTTACTCTTCGTCCAAACCTCCTACTTTTGGATTTTTATGTTAATGAGATACTCGATACAGTAAAAAGTAATGAAATACCAATCTCACTGTCCTACTCCAATGCAAAAACAATTTGAACACTGCCTTTTCAAATAAAAATTCACATATGTCCTTCTTAAAGTCCACTTTCTTAGATTAATATATGTTACTTGAAAATAATGGATAAATGTTGTAAATAAGCCAAACACATTTAGCAATATTTATTGCATGTTCTGATTCAATTATGATTTATTTAATTCCTTTCAAGAAAAATGGATAATCGAAGTAAGCAGGCATGGTAGTCAATGTACCAAAACAAATATCTAAAATTTCAAAGGTTTCTATCACTTATTCCGCATTGTATAGACTTTTATTAAGAATATAAAGTACTTTGTTTTATTGAATTGCAAACTCACTACTATTCCTAATAAATTCACATTCTAAAGCAAACTTTTCAAAGCTATTTTCATTGCATCAGGAATAGATTCCTACTATTTCAGTTCACACATAAATGCTTTAACCAAAATTCTATAACCTGGGATGTCTTACCAAGGAAGTATTTTCACTTACAAAATATTCCTCACATACTTAGCCCATTCTTCTACAAAAAAACTGAAATTTATTGATCTATGTCTAATATGCTCCTTCCAACTTTCATCATCTAATATTTGATTCAAAGCTGATTAATTTTGAATTCCTTTGCTCTTATCAGATAGATAAGTGTGAAAATAATTCTACCAATCGAAAATTGAGATATTGGTTTTAGTACTTTTATCAATATTTGTGGGGTCATCTTCCTGTATAAATTCAGTTCCTCTCAATTCCAACAACTAAGGATCATCAGCTTTATTAATTAATTCTAAAAATTTTGCTCTGAATTCTGGAATTCGAAAATAGCTGATCACTAAAAATTTTATATATAATTATCTCGCCTCTTGACTAGGATCTTTTTGATTTAATTTAGATAATGTGAATCGAAGTGTGTTCACCAAAAATGATTAATAATTCAAACCAACCTCTGTTTTGAATTCAGATTGCTTCTTATTCAAAGCTTTAAAAAACCCTAATTATTATAGCATCAATTCTCCTCTGCTTAGTACCTAATTCAAACATTCAAAATAGGAATTGAAAGATGCCAAAGTCTTTGAATAATCCACCAAATGGATAGACAATTGAATCAATAAATCTTAGGCTTTCATTAAATCATCCTCAGATTTGTATTGGAATGTCTTAATATTGGTACCATGAGATTGTCCCAATAATTGAGCCAACTTACTAAGTTATTGATCCATATCTGAACGAACCTTTAACTTATCTTCCATGTTTAAGGTTTTGTGCTCAATCTTAAAAATAGAACTTGATAATTTCTGAAACTCAATTTGAATCATCTTAATCTCTGTTACACTTATATTCTCAACACTCCCAACCACAGATGCAGTTGATACAATACCCTTTTCTGTCTAAACTCCAAATGATGATTATTATAAATAATTGGGTAATCTTACACTTATTTCATAATCAATTTTACCAACCTCTACACCATGATACCATATTGATTTAGCCTATTGACTTTTGATTATAAAGAACTTAGCTCCCAAATCGGCAATGATGTTAGTTTCTAAATTCGATAAATTAATATAAGTTTCTGCCACTAAATGATGGTCCTAGATCTCTAAATCCATATATTCTGAGTCGTGTTTATTTTAAGTCTTTTTTATTATAGTTTTATGAGGAGACTTGCTGCTACTTAAACTGTTTTTGTTAGATGAGATTGACCATAAACATAATTGAATAGCAGAACCTTAAAATTCCGAGATTGGTAATTCTACTATTAAAGTCAGTTCATCTCCAGCATGATCCCACTCTATTCTATGATAGGGTTATGAGGCTGGGGATTAACCTTTATTTGTTGGAGTGGCTGCTATGATGGACTCGAGAGAATGATTTACACCTCCACTGCTATTTATCATTGACGGTATTTTCGGTAATGATATTATGGAATCTCTCATCATGTCCTAGTCTAAGATGCTTTTACGACTGGAAGCTATAATACTCTTCTATTTTTCATTTTGCTTTCTATAATTGGGATTCACAAAGGTGGTTGAATGCTCAGAGATGAATGAGAACTATGAAGTCTTTAATTTTAGTTGATATTTATACCACCAATCGCAAATTATAGTTGTATCTAACATCACTGAGACTTTAGTTTAATTCCCAGATAATAAACTTACTTTAGAGTGTTGCCTACAATACTTGATTCATTTTCAAATCAAAACTAACATTGCCCATATTTTAGCCTCGGATTGGTAGTTGAAAGTGAAATGGACCTACTGCCGCTTCAAATAAATTGATGGTTGCTGATCCAATTACTTAATTGTCAATCACTGAAATTTTCATATTGGATTCTCGCATCTACTACTCAGTCATCTTTAAGGTTCCATCAAAACTAGCTCGCCACTTCCTTCTATGAATTTAATACATAATGATCTCCATTATTATCTATGTGCACCGGTGATGTGTACTTACACTACCCCAAATCAAATTCAATCGAGCATTGTCTTACACCAGTCATTTTCAAAGTGATGTTCTTTAGCAATACCTTAATCTGCAACTCACCATTGGTTATGATAGGTTGACTCAGTTTGTGAACTTAGTCTTCCTAGCTTTTAGGTCTGCCTCCACAAATGCCCATCTTGTAATATATATCGTATTATAATAATATTATATTGAGTTCAAAATTTCCTTACAAAACATAAGATTTTGAAAATATTATTAGTTATATAAAGATATCTCATTGGTTAAATTATAATTTATTAATAGTTTTTATTTTTTGCATTTATTTTTTGGCCTCATTCAATATTACTTTTGATATTTGCGATTTACTTTTAGTCTGTTTGAAAGTCTTTGATTTATCATTAATATTGTGTTCAGTTCGACATTCCTGTCTATAAGTAGACATCAGAGCAAGACTATTGCTACCAGGTCTAGTCTAAGTGCTATGATTAGTTAGATACTGAATGGTCTTCTGTTCTCTGTGAATATTATGCTTAAAAGTATTACTGAATTCCTGGTTGTTGATCTAATGATAAATGTGACTCACTACATAGATGTATCAAATATTACATGATTGAATTCTATTTAAAGACAAAGTGAGTTATCTATTTTGCTTGATGAATTCAGTGCGAGGAGTGTAATTGTCATAAAGTAAACTCGTCTTTGCAACCATCGTAGAATCAGTTTAAACATCTCTTTTTATTAAAGGATTCTCTATGCCATTTTTTATTTGACTGTAATATTTTTCATAGTTTTCTTCATTTGTTTCTCCTTGTTAAGAGTTCTTTTCGTCCATCAACAGAGATCTTCGTCTAACAAGAATATCAATTTAAATACGCAAACTGTTTTCTTTTCGAAGTAATATTGGGGTCACTGATTTTTGAATCTGTGTAATTTTGCAACTTTTCTGCAGCCATGTTGTAAGTCATCTGAACAATGTGTGGCAACGGTGTTTATTCACTGGAAGACAAATGACAAAAATGTCTTAATTATTGTGTTTCTATCTTAATCTGATTACAAATAATTGCTATCTATTCATAAATACATTAACTTTCAGAGGCTATCCTATTCAAACACAATTAGACAAAAGCATCAAAATTCTCAGACAACAATTTGTCATCAATTTCATTTTTTTCTGTTACTTGTTAGCAATATTACTTAAATTCATTGAATATTTGAGCATCATTATATAATAATGTTATATTATGAGATTTCTTTAATTTTTTGAATTCTGGATAATCATCCAAATACATCTAAGTTTATTGTTGATTTTATTTCAAAAACATCAGAGTCATTTAAGATTGCTGATATTTCTCAATCATATCTTGACTAGCTATTTCACTTCTTTATGCTATATTGTGAAGTATATTTATTATTCTCTACAAGAAGATACTAGCTCTATTGTTCATGCATAGAAACAAATCTTCCATTTGTTATCTTCTGCTTATGGTCTATATGATTTTTTTAGTTTGTTTGTTACGCTTGATTAAGCAATATTTGATGTTATTACATCCTAATTAAAATTATCATTAGTAGGTTTTGAACATTTGATTATCCTCTCTTTATTGTTTCCATCATCAAGTTAGAACTAAGAATTTAAATATAATATACCTTCTATTATATATTGTTATACTCCTTAAAACATTCACCCTTCTATTCAATAAGGTATGTATGTTACTCTGCCAATTGTCTTTGCAAATTTGACTACTCATCATATGCTTTGAGAATGATCTCTTCAATTATGTTGATATCTACATTCAATTTAACTTAGGATATCAATTCTTTTGCAGTGATAAAATTCTGGAGAGATTATTGATAATTTATTGATTTCTTCTAATTCTTCTTTATTGAATTAATAGATTTAATAGATTGTTTTGATTTGAGGGAAGTCTGTTTGATCTAGGTTTAAAAGACTCCTCCATCATCCAAAAAGGAGTTGTCAGATGATTCTATAATCAAATCTTCAGACTCATCGTTATCATTTTTGGAATCTTAGCTGATATCAATCTTTTAAATTTGATTAGTACAATATTCATACAACTTGGTCATTGCTAAATAATTTTTGATTATTATCATTTAATTGCCACTAGATTCCCATTTTAACCTCTCTTGTTATTTCAAGTCTTCGATTTATGACTTTTAGTCATGTATTTGTATTTTTAATTCATTGATATGATCCTAAATCACTTCGTATTCTTTCTTCTATTCTTCTGTGTTTGCTTTATGAAGATCGTTTTGATCCATCAACTCTTGTAGATATTGGTTTCTTCTGCTCTATAATCTTTATATTTTAGTTTTCATTGATTGTAATAATTATTTGGATCTAAGCATTTCAAATTCAGCTAGAATTAATTCATCTTCAGCTTATTTTTATTAATATTTCAACAGTTACATCTAATGTTCCATAGGGTAGATCTATTGTTTTTTCTTATTTATAGACTTAACCAATTCATCAATAGAAATCTATAATTATTTTGTAGTCTCTAAACTTGAAATTGATTATGATTCATCAAATTTACTAACAGTTTATAAATGCTAATCCACTTTCTCAATAATATTAGGTTTAGTTTCCATTTCACGTTTAATCATATTCTAATATATTCTCTACTTATAAATGTTATTGTTTCTTATCTCCTAAAAAATCAAATTGAATTGAGAATTTTGATCATTTATCTATTTCTTCGATATCTCTTATTTGTTAAACTCCTCCTCTAAAAGAGACTGAGGATCTTTTATTTTATTGATGTCTTTAAAACTACTTAATCTAGATTCCAAATGACTCAGAGTTTACATTCTTTAATAAATAAAAAATAATCTCAACTTGATATTAAAATCACAAAACTTATAGAAATTAAATCTAGCCTATATATACCTCCTAAGACTCCATTTTATACATAATATACTCAATCACTGTATTAGAACTAGTCTCACTTATTGATAAACTTGTTTAAATGGAATAAAGAAGGAGACACATAATTATATAAGTATAATAAAATATTTCAGGGTATAATTGCATAATCAATGAAACCTCATCGTGGAGTGATTTATACAAATATCATCATATATAATGTAATAGTATATATCATATCAGAGTGGTGATGCAAATTGAATCAATATATAGCTTATATTAAATATAAGTTAATTCATGAGCCAATTAATTTTCATCACAAATTTTAATTTTAATAATGATATTAATTATTTATTTTCATATAATTTGAAATACACAAATCAACCAAGTATTCTAATTTTTTGATTGATAATACCTTAAGCATCCTTAACAGCTACATCAATTGTTTCAATTTCCCAATCATTTGTTTTTTTGTTCTTCTAACCTTTCACATAACAAACACCTGCCTTCTATCCATACATGTCAGTCTCAAACTCAGCCTAATCCCTTATCTGTCCACCTCTCAACTACTAATTGAATTGGATATTCTAACCAAATAATTTCTTGATCTAAGGGTTAGTCTATATAATAATCAATGATTATCTGTGAATTTGAGTGTTCAAAACACTTATTCGCTAGACTATTAAATAATACATACTCTATTTGCCTTAACATAATTGTAAATTGCCATAGCACCAATGATAGTACTAATAATAGTGATATTTCTAACACCACCCACCTTTCTATATAATTCTTATTGTCTATATCTTCTTGCCTCTTCTATTTCTTATTCAGTAGTAGGCACTTTAGGTTTGCGAGCATCTATTTCTAACTTTAGATCATATAGTGTTCTACGATCAGTAACTAGAGGTGGAGTCATTGCTTAAGCCACATCCTTTTTCAACACTTAATTTGAATCAACCAAGACTATTCTAAAGTCTCCTTATAATCCAATGTCAGCAACCAGATGATCAATTTTCCATAATCTCACATCTGGGGTCAATTTCCAATTTTATAATGCATCCACATCTTTATTATATTTCATCACATCAGTCATTTGTTTTGAGGATGGTATGTAATATTAAGTCTTATTTTGTATCTCTTGCAATTCTCTTGATTATCCCATTAACTCAACTTTTGCTGCACCTTTAGGACCAACAACCTGAAAAGAAAATTAACACACATCGTTATTTTGTGTCGCATTGCTACCCATATTTATCTACAGTGATAATGGATATCCTGCCAATTAGATTATTTAATCATTATGTTGCAATATCCTTAAGGCTTCTTGGACTATTGGATGATCATATTTCTGTTTATGCAAATAGCTTGTACCAAAATAACCCACACCTGAGAATCCTAGGAAACATAACAGGAAATTAGGACCAGACCTAAATGGAAATGAATTCTTTAATTTATTAAACATTATTTATGTAATAATAATCAAGCCAGAAATTACCTTAAAGTTATTTAGTAAGCTATCTGATAATGCTAGGCTATTTTCTTTTCATTCACCCTCATTTCTATTATTAATAACCCAATATTTTACATTTATATTTCTCTTTCGCTTGTCCTGCATATAATAAACTCTGTAATCCCATCACTATTTCCACAGCTACAAATATCACTAATACTACTGTAAATTATATTGTTTAAGATTAAGCTACTTTATCCTCCTTTCCATAAACATAAGATTGTGTTTACAATATTTAACCATAATCAATTAATAACAATATTGTGATTATTCCCCTTGTTATCACACAAGTAAAGGTCAACATCATAAATATCGTCAGCAACTACTCACTCTTCTGCACAACACAAAAATACCCTAATTCATTTCCATTCTTACCTACTAAACATGTTAATAATTTCAATACATGGACCATCACCAAAATTGTTATCAAATAATATACTGTGAATCCCTGTTTATTCCATCTATAAAAACTGAAAATCGATGAACTATCATAAAACTTCAAATTCGATTATCCTTCAATATTTATTATTGAACTCAAATTGTATAGAGTAATTGCCTATTCTTTTCCAATAACCATACTAACTAAAGCGAATTGATCAAATTGAAAAGTGCTGCTCTTTCGTTAAATTTTGCCCTGTTTGATAACAGTTTTTCTAGTATCCTTTCTTTCTTTCTAGATTATTTCTTAGGTGAAGGCAGATCTGAATGTTCCGAAAATTGATACGGGCTCATGGGTTCTTGACTTTGAGTCTCATTATCGAATTGTTGAAGTAACATAATATTTGTCTCCTGCATCTCTAAATGCTAATCTATTTCTTCACTCATCTTATAATAATTTTATCAATCACAAGGTTTGTTCATGCATTCTTATTTAATTAAATCAATTATATACAATATTCTACCAATAAAATTTATTTTAAATGAACAATATTCTTAAACAAGCTTAACAAATTTTAGAATTTATTTATAAAGGAATGACAAATATTTAGTTCTATTCTCNTGAAAAGAAAATTAACACACATCGTTATTTTGTGTCGCATTGCTACCCATATTTATCTACAGTGATAATGGATATCCTGCCAATTAGATTATTTAATCATTATGTTGCAATATCCTTAAGGCTTCTTGGACTATTGGATGATCATATTTCTGTTTATGCAAATAGCTTGTACCAAAATAACCCACACCTGAGAATCCTAGGAAACATAACAGGAAATTAGGACCAGACCTAAATGGAAATGAATTCTTTAATTTATTAAACATTATTTATGTAATAATAATCAAGCCAGAAATTACCTTAAAGTTATTTAGTAAGCTATCTGATAATGCTAGGCTATTTTCTTTTCATTCACCCTCATTTCTATTATTAATAACCCAATATTTTACATTTATATTTCTCTTTCGCTTGTCCTGCATATAATAAACTCTGTAATCCCATCACTATTTCCACAGCTACAAATATCACTAATACTACTGTAAATTATATTGTTTAAGATTAAGCTACTTTATCCTCCTTTCCATAAACATAAGATTGTGTTTACAATATTTAACCATAATCAATTAATAACAATATTGTGATTATTCCCCTTGTTATCACACAAGTAAAGGTCAACATCATAAATATCGTCAGCAACTACTCACTCTTCTGCACAACACAAAAATACCCTAATTCATTTCCATTCTTACCTACTAAACATGTTAATAATTTCAATACATGGACCATCACCAAAATTGTTATCAAATAATATACTGTGAATCCCTGTTTATTCCATCTATAAAAACTGAAAATCGATGAACTATCATAAAACTTCAAATTCGATTATCCTTCAATATTTATTATTGAACTCAAATTGTATAGAGTAATTGCCTATTCTTTTCCAATAACCATACTAACTAAAGCGAATTGATCAAATTGAAAAGTGCTGCTCTTTCGTTAAATTTTGCCCTGTTTGATAACAGTTTTTCTAGTATCCTTTCTTTCTTTCTAGATTATTTCTTAGGTGAAGGCAGATCTGAATGTTCCGAAAATTGATACGGGCTCATGGGTTCTTGACTTTGAGTCTCATTATCGAATTGTTGAAGTAACATAATATTTGTCTCCTGCATCTCTAAATGCTAATCTATTTCTTCACTCATCTTATAATAATTTTATCAATCACAAGGTTTGTTCATGCATTCTTATTTAATTAAATCAATTATATACAATATTCTACCAATAAAATTTATTTTAAATGAACAATATTCTTAAACAAGCTTAACAAATTTTAGAATTTATTTATAAAGGAATGACAAATATTTAGTTCTATTCTCAATACAGATCTTTCTTAACTTATTTAAATTATAGTTTAATTGTTAATCATAAAAAAAGACATTTAGAAAATAATTATTCATTTTATTGTTATGAGGAATTTCACTCTTTTAAATAGATTTTTGAAATCATTAAATTGATATAATAATAGGTTATCTAACATTTCATTTTATTGATAATCAAATCTGTATTATATTAAGTTTTTTGCTAAAATATTAGTTTAAAGATATATTTTATATTTTACTATCTATTTTGTATATAGTTGAATAATAAAGAAAAGATTTTCAAATCCTCATAATCTTGTAAATCAAACAAAACACATGTTATTATTTATCAAATTTGAACAGTGAAATATCACTCAACACTACCATTGCTTATCTAATTATTACTTCTTTTTACGATTAAATCAGTATTAATAAAAAGTAATAATTAAATTTTAATATGTTTAATGTTTTCGAATTTTGATCATATCTTGATATATCTTTTGATGTATCTTAGAAAGTCAAGATAAAAACCAAAAGTACTCCCCTAACAATATAGTTGAGGAATCTGGTGTAGAAAATGATTCTTGACATGTGATTGGGTGTTAATTCATTGAGTAGAGTATTGAGATCTTGAATTTGATTGGTTGATTAATTAAATAAAGGAATTTTGTGACTGTTTAAAATTGAACCAAATTATCTATTCTAATTATTTAATTAAACTCAAATGTCATCAGGAGGAAAAGGAAAAGCAGGAAAAGGAGGAAAGGCAGCTGGAGCTCACAAATCAGTTTCCAGATCACACAAAGCTGGTTTATAATTCCCAGTCGGAAGAGTGTCAAGATATTTGAAATAAGGAAGATACACAGAAAGAGTTGGTGCTGGTGCTCCAGTCTATTTGTCAGCTGTCCTTGAATATTTGGCTGCTGAAGTTTTGGAACTTGCCGGAAATGCTGCTAAAGATAACAAGAAGAACAGAATCAACCCAAGACACATTCTCTTAGCCATCAGAAATGACGATGAATTGAACAAATTAATGGCCAATACTACTATTGCTGATGGAGGTGTCTTACCAAACATTCACCCACATTTATATTCAGCTAAGGAAGACCCAAGCCAAGCTGTTTGATTTAATTTTTATTAGTCAAATAATTAATATGAATATTGATAATATCAAAATAAGCTATTTTAAAAGAGACAAATCAAACTCTTTTCTTTTTTAAGTAAGGAAATATTAATTCCTTTTGATAACACTATTTGTTACTCATCTAGATAAACTGTATCCCCTCACATATCAATTCATAGGATGACAAAAAAAAGTAATCATTGTTATAAACAATAATTTCCCATTGAATTGCTGTCTTCCTTATAAAATTAATGATTATTGTAGCATATAAATGGACAAAGGAAGATTGTTGAACAATTCTAAAGAATGTTCAATCTGATATACTTAAAACTAAAGTAGAAAAAATAGAGTAAAAATTAGCATCAATAAACATCAATATCAAATAAGTGTAATAATCAAGAGACTTAAGAATTATCAATCAATAATAAAGGTAACAAAAGGCCTAAATAAAAAGTAGGATAGAGAAACAGCAACAAAAATATTATTATTATTTTTCTTTTTTATGTTTATTCTTAATATCAGAAGAGAAAAAATCAATTCATTTTTACTAATTTAAAAAAATTCTTTTTATAAAATACATCAGATAGTTTTATAAATTAAAAGACTGATTTCAGTTTCAAGAAATTAGAATAAAGAACTTCAAAATTATTCAAAGTAAATGTCGATACTATTAAACTTGATTTTTAATTAAACTTCAAGATAAAATTAAAATATGTTCTTTCATAAGTTTATCTCAAAGGAGATTATTATTAATTTATGATAATCATCATTTATGGTGTTAATAAAAAATGCTATTCTAAGATTTCGCAATTAATACGGTTTCTTACAACTTATTCCTTTTTTTAAAACTATTTTATAATCAATAAGTTCTTAAATACTTAAGAAACAATAGGATTTTTATTACTACACAAAGACACTTAATAAAATTTAATATTGATGTAGGATGCTATCATATGAATGGTTTTTTAATAATTTGATTGCTTCTAGATATTTATCAAGAATTTTGGAAAACTCAAAATAAATAATACCATTACAAGACGTATTACAGACAAATTTTAGTGAACTAATCGATTCAGATTGATCATTAGATTAAAAGGATAAAGGTCATAATTAACAAGAACTAAGGGATCATTTGGAAATATTTAATTTTCAGATTATTGAGAATTTGGAAGAGAAGATTTGTAGATATATTTAACAATAAATTTCTGAACATCTTGCAAATAAATTCTACGCTTAGAATCAGTTAATTATAGAATTTTATTAGGAATATTTTTGATCAAAAAACAAAACAATAATTTGATATGCTTATGAATTAATATAAATTATATTGTTAAATATATGAAACAAACTCTTCCAGTGCTTGCCCATTTTGAAAAGAGTTCAGATGAAATTGCAAGTAATCTAAGCGATATTATACAATAGAATATTTTGCATTAAAATATGGAAACAATTACCATATAATAAAACAATTGCAAAACCAAAGAAAATAAATTGAAACTCCTATGCTAGAGGCTAAAAGAACATTGAGGACAATAGAATAAGAATGTGATGGACTCAAGAGAAGTAATTCTAAATAATCAGAACGCATGAAAGCAACATCTACTTTCAATTTCTCTAGACCTGGTAGTTAATTTGATACATTCATTCAGAGTACTCAACATTTTGACTTAAATTCTGGATAACTTTTGCTCTAGAATATCAAATAGATTATGGAGAGTTTGTCAACTAAAGAGGACCCTCCAAATTTCTAATTATATTGGGAATCCGTTTATATGTTTAAATGGGAACAATATTTACATTGTTTTGTTAGACCTTTAACACAAAAAATAATTTAAGAATCAATATTTTTGAGTGACATAGTAATTTCATTTATTTAATGTTAAATGAAAGAAAATTTACTTAATAATTCTTAAGAGCATTAATAAGAAATGATAGTATTAACAAAACTTTTATTGGAAAACTTCTGTCATTTTTTAAAGAAAATATTGACACAAACTAAATAATAGAATACTTTAGTTGTATAATTACAGACTAAAATCGATTTAATACTGTGTAAAAATAACCCTTGCATTAGTTTTATTTAAGAATTAAAAAAGAATAATAGTTTCATCAAAACAATTATTGATAAGTTATTATAAATTGATAATCCGAATATATAGCCTGTAATTATTACTTGTAGATATTAACTAAGTCAAATAAAGTCATTAGACATATAAACTAGTAGACCATAATTAGTTAATGCTATCTATTTATCAACCAGTGTTAGTTAATAACCAGAATAATATTAATCGCCATTAAAAACCTTATTCAAAGTACCTCATTAATAATAATACGTGATGCATTTAAGATAATCATACAGTAATTTAGAGCCAGTTGAAGTTCCATTTATTAAAACACCATTTCAGCACTCTTTATGTGTAATATTAGATCTAGATGAAACCCTGGGTCATTATGTATGACATAAATAATAAGTTTAGAATGATAAGATTGGCAAATTCATAAGGAGACCAGGATTGGTTGAGTTATTACAAGGAATAAAAGAACATTGTGAAATAGTAATTTTTACGGCTGGTTTGCAGAGTGTATATATATAATATATTATAAAGTATGCAGATCATGCGATAGCAGAGTTATAATGTGATGAATACATAGATTATCGATTGTATAGACCACACACTACTTTTAATGGGAATAATTTTGTTAAAGTATTTAAATAATGATTCAATTAGGACATAAGCAAAGTAGGTAGACCTTTGGAGAGAACAATAATAGTTGACAATACACCTACAAATTATGAATAATAGTAGGACAATGGACTTTTGGTGTCAACATGGATTGATTAAGAGGAGGACAAAGAATTGTTAGAGTTAAAGGATTTGATAATAAGAATAGCCTAGACAAAAACTAAAGATGTGAGAAAAGCTTTGAAAAAATATAGAGATTACATCAGTAGACATAAGTGATTATAGATATTGTGATAAATTAATGTTTGATCAAGATCTTTTCTTTTTGAATGGGTTTTCATGAGTCATTTCAAAATAATTATCCACAAATTTAGTGATTTCGCATTGTTGATTTGCAAAATTCTTAGTTGGTTTATAGACATTCTAAAATATAATGTAATTTACTAATTAGTTGGCAAACCAACCGATTTCTTGATTTTGTGTCATTGGGAAATTGTATTTTTATCTTGGAATCTGATTTCTCAATTCCAAAGTTTTCTCTAATTTCTGATTAGAGAATGCCTCTTCAACTGGATCATCCGTGTATGGATTTCCAAAGATATCATTATCCTTCTCTTTTCTTGATGATTGATGTGATTGAGGTTCTTGGAATTTCATAATGATATATACTTATATGATTGGGTTTTTCAGCCAGAATTACAACTAAATGAATAAGAATTAATAAATACCTCTATTGGGGTTCAATTGAAAATGTTCGGTTCTATTCTTATCAAAGAATTTCATTTCATTTCTAATGTTTTCACTAAACACTATGTCCTTATTTACCACTTGGCCAGGGTCTGGCTGTTTCAGTTATTTCTTTTATGCCATTAATTTATTAAAAATATGAATAAATAGGTTTTATCGTTCATTACTTAAAACCAAAACAAATATAGCTACATTCATTTATTAGATAACGTCCTAAATATTCAACCTATTAACAATCAACAGTTTTTGATTTTACAAAACAATAAATTAGACTTACTAACCTTACCAGCTCAATTATAATAAATTATTGATTTCGATAGTGAATTCGAATTCTTGGATTGTTTAATTTAAGAAACAGAAATCCTATATATTTTATAATCCTTGCCAAGTAATTCAATTAGTTACTGTAGATTACAAATTATTGTTATTAATATACAATAAAAACGAATAGAAACTTAAAGTATTTCAACGAGAAAGTAATGAGAGTCTATCCAAAATCAAAATGATTCAAATCGTTGATACTGAGTAGTTGATATACAATGCAATTCTTATTAAAAATGAATAAGTATGCTTAGTAACTCAAGGTAGAAACAATCCATTTTGTCTTAGGATTAAGCAACTTGACCATTGATATCTGCAGTGAAATATAAAATCCTATCGAAATTTATAGAATTAATGCATCACTACTTTTACTCTTAACCAAGCATTCAACATACATCATCAATAATTAATTGGAAATCGCATCAATTAATTTGCCAATTCCTATTAATAATATCCTTTAATCATTAACGATCAAAAATTTCCATTACATCCTCACTAATAGAACACTTATACGATTTGATGAAGCATCCTATACTCTCTATGAGAATCTCATAGATGGAATAACGCTTTATGAAGAAAATTTATATCTTTTTTATTATAATGATAAACAATAATTGTGTTTATCCAATATCGATGGATAAATTGTAATCAAATTGGATTTTCACCAAAGGATATCCAATTTGAATATTGTCAATCTCTAATCATTATTAATAAAAGATGAACATAATTCTGGATATTTGATATTTCAACCAGATTTCAAAGCAATCTTATAATAATATTTTAGATTAGATGATTTCAAAGATCAATAATAATAATAGTAATAATAGTAATAATAGTAATAATAATAATAATAATAATAATAATAAAAATATATTACTTAAGAATTATTATTTACTCTTAATAAAACCTAAAGATATAAATAAAATATCGATGATATGATAAGTATCAGTCTTAAATATAGTTATATCTAATTATTGCTATTGATGTGTGCAAGAATAAGAGTTTTTAGAGAATTCTTTATTCATATAGATAAAATGTCTGAAAATGGAAATGAAAAAGAATTAAGAAATTTATTGGAAATCAAAAAAATTAAGAAATGTGAATGCATAGAAAATGATTAAATAATGGAAGAGCTCATTGAAGAATGCCTTTAATATAAAGACAAGAAAATCTTTATTTATTTTTAAAAACTGTTTATTGAGAATCCCTTATACGTTAATGATCACTACTATTGTTAAATATTATAGTGTGAAACTAACAGAGTTCTCTATCAAAATGCTGGCTTAGAAATGCCAATCATTCCAAGTTATGCATTTAAAAGAGTGACCAATTACATTATGTTTTTATAGAAGGCAAAGATTGTATTTATTTAAGATTTATTTGTAAAGAAAGAGAAACAATTATAATTGTAATAATAAAATATGTATTTTTAGAATAAAAAAGGGAATGATAGGAAATGCGATGTAATGCTATGAGTGTTTGAAACCAATTTCATTTTCAGTCCAGAATAAGAATTAATAACAATAGGAAAGCAAAATAGTCAAGTATATGGATTGTTATCATGCAATACATAAATAATGTGTATAGATGTAGCATGAATGTAATTATGAGAACAATAAAAAATTGTTTTAATTTTGATAACTAATCATAATTCGAATGAGTCATTTGTAATTTTTGTCTTACTTTCATTCTCAGTTAATGGCAAAATCCAATTGATATAAAGTTAACCAAAGAGTTCTCTAAAATTGTCTATAATTTTTAACTTTCGAAATGGATTGTCAGTTTTCATTTCTTCTATGTGAAATTCAACCGTTGTCACATTTTTCGCTATATGATATAAGTGAAATGACAGAAGAGTTCCCATAGAAAGACATAAAAGTAAACATGTAAGGGCACACATTTGGCAAAGAAACTTGGAATTTCCTTTAAGTTAAGTTCCACTAAAGAGTTCAATTGTAATGAATATCACACATTGAGACATACATAGCAACGCATAGATTATAAATTAACAAAAAAACCTATGATTTTTCATCCCAATACAATTATTAACCCAACGACAATGATGATCCTATTGAAGCCAAATTAAAAAATACCATTCTTAAAATGCATTTATTACATTCTTTACAATGATGAGTTCTGGGTTATTTGATATTTTTGCATTTGAAACAATAGGAATCAAGTTACATAGTTTAAATTATGTCACTAAATGATATGTTGTTATTTTGGATTACAATATTTCATCTTCTTCATCAATTGCTAATTCATATTTCTTCATTAACTTTTGTTTTCTTTTTTTTTGAATAATTTCTGTATGTTTTTTAGTTCTGTTCTTGATTTCTTCTAATATATGTTCTTGATAGTTTTTTGCCTAAATTTAGGGCGATTCAAATACCAAATCAGGAGAGGGATGCCCAGGAGATTGAATTTGAGCTTGAATGTACGCCCAATGAATAATTATGTAGATAAGTGTGAATTCTATTCCAATAAAAATTGTGGATCCACTATTCTATACTAATGATAAATATTTTACATTGCTATATCTATAAGGTAAATAATGAAATACAAATACATAATACTCACTCAAGATGATGGCATAGACAAAGATCACAGAAAATATACCTTTGGGATTTTAAAATTTCATAAATTAATATTAAATGGACCCAAAATAAAGAAAAGATCGTTCAACATCAAGGGATAAAAAGAAAACAAATAAAAAATAAACACAATATAGTTATGGATAACTAAAGTATATGTTCGTATAGATTTATAAGATTTGGTGAAGTACAAAGTAAGACAAAAAAAATATCATTAAAAACATTCTTTGGAAACCCTGAATTTGAAATCTTTTGTTTGAGATTTGATTTCGAGGATCAACTCATAGCAGCTGGTTGTTCGGATGGAACAGTTAAAGTTTTTAACATAGTATCTGGTAAAGTGAAAGTAGAATATTAAAGGGAAACTGGCATTTAATTTATAAGGATCATCAGAAGGAGCAAGTCCTACGACTGCAATTAGATGGAGAAGAGATGTAGCCAATAAAGCTAAAAGTGTGTTTTTATCTGCTAATTCTGATGGCTCGCTTATGATGTGGCAGGCACAAACAGGAAAGCAATTATTTAGGACAGTAGAACAGGGCAATCAATTATTGGCCTTAGATATAAGATCAGACGGAGATTAATTTGCTACTGCAGGCAAAGATTTTAAAGTTATTGATATAGAATGATTATATTAGATACGTGTTTACGACGATGAAAAGAAGGAGGTAATCCACACTTTTGATAAGGCTGATTAGTATAATCATTATTCATACAAGCAATTAACCAGGCCATTAGAACAGGATCTTTGCACTTAAGTACTCGGAAGAAACACCCAATATTCTACTCTCTGGTGGATGGGATGGCAATCTCCTGATCTGGGATCTTAGAGATCACAAATCTATTGGTACTATCTATGGTCCTAATCTTTCTGGGGATAGTTTAGATTTTAGGTATCCATATACACTATAAAGCAGAAATGGTTAAATATTGACTGGCTCTTATAGAACAAACAATTAGTTATAATTATGGGACTTTGGCACCAGATCACTGATTTAGGAGATATAATGGGATAAAAATATTAATAACAGTGACTTCTATGTTTATTCGTGTTAATTCAGTAAAATCAATGGAGACACTATATTGGCTGGTAGCAGTGGCAAATAAGAACTAAAATTGTTTGATATTAATAACCAATATTAAACTTGTGGTTACATACAAGATTTATAGGAAGGTATAAAGAATTCAGAAATCCTTATTAGGAGTTTATTGTGTTGACTATGGAAATAAAAGTAATAAATTTGCTTTTGGCGGTGGCGAAGGTGTAGTCTACATATGTTCATTGACTAATTCAAAGTGATGAAGCATTAATAATATATTTAAATAATGAACCCTTAATAATTAATTGAAAATTTAAACGATATCTTACTGAGTGATTTCTTCAGATATATAGAAGTTTTGGGAAAAGGAAGTTTTGGAATAGTGGTTGCAGCTCATAGTTAAGAACTAGATAAAGTTGTTGCTATTAAAGTATTTACTTGTAAAAACTAGATAACACCATATTTCGAACAGGAAAATGAATCATCTCTCTTGTAAGAATGCACTCATCCAAACATTGTTAAATTGTACAAGGTGAGAATTATTACTGAAACCCTATTAGGTATTATTTGCTCATAATTTCATCTATCTAATAATGGAAAAACTGAATGGAACCACTCTAGATGTAATTTTGAAAGAATAGAAACTTGATGAACTTAAAATAAGGAACATTATGCTCTAAGTATTGAATGCCTTAGCTTTTTTACATCGCAAAGGAATCATACATAGAGATCTAAAGCCTGGTAATTTTCAATGCTTAAATAAGAAAACATATTTATATCAAATGGCAATCATGTAAAATTGATTGACCTCGGCCTAGGATATCAAATTTTGTGTAGAGGTATCATTGGCTAACAAGTTGGAACACCATATTATATTGCTCCTGAACTAATTAATGGCTACGAATAAACGCAAGTAGTTTATTAAAATTAAAGAAGGCTCTTGACATCTTTTCTCTTGGAATAATATTCTATAAAATGTTATGCAACAATTTGCATCCCATTTGGACTGAAGGATAAACTAAAAAGGAATATTACAAAGTTCTCTCTGGTAATTTTCATATCAACTATCCATCACATCTCTCAGAGTATTATGATTTAATAATATTTATAGGATGGCAAAGGATTTCATCAAAAACACTATAACTCACAGTCCAATAGATAGAATGACAGCTGAATAATGCTTGGAACATCCTTGGTTGCTAGGTGAAGAAAGAAAATCTCATCCAATTACAAATAAAGAAATTATTTAAAGATATAGGTTTATTTAAAAGTTTTAGCTAGTACATAAATTTAATTATTTTCTTAGATAGTAAAGGCATTGCAGATGACTAAGATATTCAAATAACAATGTTTAGAAGGATGTTCCTATATAAAATCTCAAAACTCTGATGAAATCTATGAGATTATGCTTAATGAAGATGCTCCAAAATCATAAAGAGTCTACACAGAAACACACATTATAGTCCGTCCTCAAAAGTCTTATTACAAACCTAAGAGTTTGAAGACGATTCAACTGAAAAAAGATACCTCTTCATAAGATCTTGTGTCTATCAAAAATAAAATGCAGAATTCTAATCGATGTTATAGTAAATATTATTCGAAATTATTTTAGATTTAACATCTAGATATAAGTCCTCTTTGGATATACAGTTGCCAAAAGTTAATAGTTAAAAGAGAATTCATTTATAATTACCTTCTATCTCTCCTTAACAAACAAGATAGTCTAGCTTTATTTTTCGATGGTAATGATTTCCTATTGTATATATCTATATATATTTATATTTAAAAAATATGAATAACTAATTTTATAATTAAAACTCGTTAGCATTTGGTTCACATTAGCCAACATATTAGCCTCAGCCACCAAAAGCAATAAAATTTGAAAATTTTACATATCTATTAATTAATTATTCAAAGGTACCACAACAATAAAATAGATACAAGGTTGAATCTAAGCCAAAACCATTTGATAGTTTGAAGATGAATGAAATATTCAAAATTGAAAATAAATTGCAAAAAGAATAAATTGCAAAAAGAAAAAATTGAAACAGAAAAAGAAAAAGAGAATAAAAAAAGATAATTTTAAAATCCACTTCCTGCAGCAGTTAAATCATATATAACTATAAAAGATATTGAATAAGTGATTGATGATTGTAATTATTATTATCTTTATTAGAGCAATATAAGAAAGATGTTTCTGAAATGAAGAAATAGAAGAGAGAATTAGAATAATTATAATGGGTATTAGACAAAGAGAAGAATCTGAAATTTGAGTAAAATACACAATTTGAAGAAAATTAAAACATTAAAAACCCTGATTTGCCCTAAGATATTATGAATGCTAAAAAAAAGGGTATGGAAAATAAAGAATCACCATCCAAAACAAAAGAATAAAAGAAATGGGATAAATCAAAGTAAATTGAAAAAATGTAGATGAAATCTAAGTTGAACCTCAATAAAATAATTATCCTATTTGGAAAGAGGGAATTCATTTAATTCGTTACGAAGCCAAAAAAACCATTATTACCCGGAGAATATGATTCAAAAGATTTGGACTTAATACAATAAAAGTACTGCTATTATTTACTGCTATTATTCATACCTCAATAGCAACCTTAATAATAAGTAAGAAAAATGAATTGATTGAAATCTAAAATAGAGAATTGCAAAGATAACATGAATTGGATGCATTAATAGAAAAACATTAATAATTGTTAAATCTGTACCTCAAAATCCAAATAAATATTACAAAGAAATCAATTAGAAATTGGATAAAATTAAAGGAAAGTAGATCCATTAGTTAAGAAAATTTGATTATGTACAACTTGAATATCCTTTCCTGGACATCTGTTAGCAAGAGGAGTCTCTAGGATGATCTAACTCATTCTGAAAAATTAACTGAATTTTTAATTGACGATTTACTATTCGAATTGGTAGATATACTGGATACTTTGGAGATGAAGAAGATGGAAGAAGAAAGATAGGGGTATGAGTAAATGGCATTGTGTGATTACATAGAAGCTGTTAAAGATATTGCTTTAGATTAAGACAAAGTTGAATAGAATTTCTAAAAAACTAGATAACAATTTATGAGAGATAGTATATAATCATAATATTTAAATAGCTAGACTTGATTAAAAATGTACCAGTTGAATTATTGGGCAGAGATTAGTAATATTATGTAAATCCTATGGATCGTTCGCGATCAAAAGATTTGTCATGTAGATTCATCATTAAAATTATGGAAGATAGAAAAAAAAGAATATAATACATTACTTAAGATAAATAGTATTATCCTAAGAATATTGAGTAATTGATTTCGTAAATTATTTACTTATTCAAATTAGATAACAGAAAATATACTGGAAGAAATGATATGGGAAAGAGCAGCTGCATTATATTAGAGCAGTGATGAAATGGCTGAATAAATATTTATTAATGAATTCAAATCATTTTTCTTTTAGTTTTACCTTTAAAAATATAATAATCTATTTTAGTTTTAATTATCTAATTTATTAATTTTTATTTTAGTGAATGCTTGATCAAGTCTATAAAGTTTCTTTTCAATAAAGAACTTGAGTTTGTAAAATCAGATTTTACAATCCAACTATTAAATTAATATAATCAACTGAAAATAATACGTATATTGAGAGTTAACTTTATTAAACACAACATTTATTACGGCATTATTATTTTCTCAAGCAATTATCAATTTCTTGAGTGAATTAAGTTGCTTATTACTTTGAGGTCCCAAATGGCATAATTAATATAGCTATTTCTTTTAATGATGAAATTTAGTGAAAACCACTTAAATTAAATGATATTTAAATTTAAAGTGCTTTTATTGGAGGTTGCTATAGTTCTAATTAATTTCAGTTATATAATGATTAAGATCTAAAATAACATTTTGGATAATAATTATTTTGAAAAAAATTATTTAATAATAATAGTGTTTCTCCTTCCTTTTATCTTTATCTTTTTAAGGGTGTAATAAACATGCTAGTTATGAAGGTTAATAAATGATATATTTTGTTTAATGATTTAAATTAAAAAAAAAAATTAATTAAATCTGGGGTTCTGAAAGTGTTAGCTATTGAAGCATATAAGGATTTACCATATGTTTTCTAGAAATATAATTAATTTTAATTTTGTAATGAGTTTATTAATGAAATTAAGGAAGAATATCAATTAAGAGGAACATAAATGTAGCCCTGTTACAAAAACGATATGCAAACTCAGTAACATATATATTGATATATTTATCAGAGTAAAGAGATACTCAACATTAAATTTCAAATAAAGTTGTTCTTCCTATTCTTACGGTACCTAGGCCCCTTTCTACATTTATTAAATCAGCAGTTGAATTAAAATTAGCATTGTCATGTTCACAGGAGCGTTGTTTAGGCGGTTTAAGAGAAAATCCTTGCACATACAATTATAAAGTTTGTAGAGTTGATCAATATGCTGACTTGTTCTTTTTTAGCTTAGAACAATATGATAGAGATTAATTCTCAAAGTAATAGGTATGTTAGCTTATAAAAAACATGAATGATCAATATAGTGAGTAAGCATTAGAATGTGTCGAAAATAGATTTAAGATTCTTGACAATTTTAAAGATTAAACATTACTATCAGAAAATGAATTACTTGAATTAGAAAAAATAGTATCTCAATATCCTTTCTAATGCACCATCTAAAATGTTAATCAGCTCAATAGTGTCTTATCATAAAGAATTTTAAATTAAAAATTCTTGGATGTAATGGGTATAACAAAAGATATGATGTTTGACCATTTAAAGGAAACTCAAGCTTTACCAACTATTTTCAATTTGGATGGAACCTTAAAAAATTGGTGCGAACTTGCGAAATATTCTGTTGAAGGAAGAGAATACTTTGATTTTTATTTAAATACCTATGAAGGAGCCCAATACAAATGTAAAGTTGAATAGAAATAGATTTTTAAATAATCATCTCTAGACCCAAATTAAATTATATTTATAGAGTTCCGAATTATTCATATTGATCCCTCCTCAATGAAAAGTTTGTATAGGTAGGAAAGAATTCTAAAAAATCATGCTGAATATTTTAATCTGAAGAATAGTGATTTAGTTTTAAATTAATTTAAAACTTAAACCAACTATTTGGATGCCAAAAATTACAAAATAACAAGACCTTGTGGACATAAAAAAATTGATAAAATAATTCCATCTTGATTTATATCTAACTATTTTATGATTTTCTTTATACTTATATAAATCAAATAATTTTATCAATAAATTTTTACAATGTAACATACCAATAATAAAGCAAAAAAGTCCTACTCTTTTTCCAAAGCAAAACGGTTTTCGTAAACAGCTACAAAGTAGACTCATTTATTAATTAGACTAGTTACATCACAGCTAACTACAATATTAATAGAAACCTAAATAATAGGGGTCATTCTATTGGGAAAGGCCCTAGATCAGATTTTACAAAATCCTTCAGCAATGCTCCTCCTCCAACATAATATATCATCTCAGGTCTCTTTAATCTGCCTAAAGAGAAAGGAATTTCATTCGGAATTTCAAGAGAAGTTTAACAAATAAATTAATATTCATATTAGAAGACCAAAGAATTAGGGTATATTACTTAAGGAATTCAGAGAAATCCTGGAGTTGGCAATTATAATTGTTCTTATTGTTATGATCCAAAAATATAATACACTATGAGGCCAAAAACATAATCCAACTGGTTACCTAGTAATTTATTGATACAGAATTAGATTTCTTATAGGAGTAAAACTTGGATTGCATTCCTGGGCCAGGGAAATATGATTCTACCGATATTGATTAAATGGGTTAGACTATTTATGCTAGATATAGAAGTTCCAGATGTTCCAAAATAGGCAAAGAGGAACGATTTTAAAAAATAAGTAGTTAAGAAAATAATTTAGGACATAGTAGTCCAGGTCCAAATACATATAAATAAACAGATGGTCTCAACGACTCTGGGCTATATTTTGAATCAAAACATCGCGGTCAAGGAAAGAGAATTATTTGTAAGGAACCAAGACGAAGTTTTATCGATTAGATCTATTCAAGGAAAACCTAAGATTAACAATTCTTAAACCACTCAAACAGAGTTTTAGATTCTCAAATAAAGCTATATGAATCAGAATATTGATTTAGTTAGTTATAGTTTTACAAATTAATTCAATATAAATATCATTTTGATTTCATTGATGAGAATCTGGGCTTGGCTTCTGTTGATGAACCTAGTAATTATAATATATTTTTGAAAAGTCCTCATAAACTCTTCTAAAAAATAATAAGATATCCTTAGATTCAAACGGCAAGTTGCCATAATCTAAGCCCTTTATTATTGCTTAAATGAACTTGTGAAACTAATTTAATTGAAATTTTGTCTTGCAATATGGACAAACAAATAATTGCTCAGTAATGTGTTTGAGCTTGCAGGACTTCTCCTTTGGAGATGAAATTAGTCTCTTCGAACATCTAACAAAACCATTCATATCCAAAAAATAATCAGTCTAACACAATTCATGTTTTACCTAATATGGAGCATAGCTATCACACTTACCACATTAACTGATTATTTTTAATGGAATTCTTTTTAATTTAGCCCATGGTTCAAGTTCTTAATTGTTATTAGAAGTTGTTACAATGACACCTTTAGGAGTGCTTTATCTAATTTATTTGCTATTATTTGTTTCTTAATGAGGTGAATTAATAACAGTTGTTGATTTTCTCTATTGTTTTTGTTTTAATGCATAATCGCTTAATTAAGAAGCTCTCTTCTTTGAATCTTTATTATAAATAAGTTTATCAAGTGCGATAGTCAATTATTTTTCAATCATGTCTGTGTCCTCTGTTTTAATCATAATAGTCTTAGCATTTAATATTGCAATATCAATATTTTAGATTAATTAATCAATTCTTTTCTTCTATTCATTAGGTTTATCTTCAGTCAGTTAAGAAATTTCATCAGCTTCCTTAGTAATGTGAGCTCCTAAATTGCATAAGTAGAGTTATTGCATTTTTTAAAAAGACACCTGATATTCTTGTATCATTTAGGTGACTTAATCAGTCGATTAATTCAATTTGAGACCCTTGAGATCTAAAAATTTATTGGAATTCTTTTGAAGTTCAAGTAAATCTTGAGAACACCTTTATCCATAATTTTAAATGAAAACTGAGAGTTTTTACTCTTGCCTCTTTTTAGCATTCAATATTAGCGTAATGCATTCAAGCCTTGAAAAATATTAATTAATTTATTCTGCTATTTTTAATGATATTTTTTTCATTGATAATTAATAAAAAGGTTCAAAAATTTGTAGAGCATGTTATAGATTTTATTTTTACTTCGTTATAAATTGCAATTAGTATTTTGTAAATGTTTATTCGAAGGTTTATGACATTTCTTTCATATTTTTTATACTTGCTTCAGCTTTATGAATGTGAAAACAATAAAATTCTTGGTCAAATATCTCCATCTTAGCTAATCCAAATGCTTCCAATAATATAGTCAATGATGACAATTAAATCTCTTCTTAAATCAAAAAATCGTCCATCTATTCGATTACAGGTTATATTATGTATTTGTCGTAATTCTAGGTAAAACTTTGTTGTAAATTATATGCAATATCTAAAAATTCTGATTTGAACAATATATCCTATTCGTTTTCTCTTAAATGCAACAATTATTATGCTAATCTATATCCTAATTATTCAATTGCCTTTACTTCACTTAGCTTAGATAATTCCTGTAAGTTTTTATAAAGATTTTTATCATTTCCTGTTTTCAGATAATTTATTAAATAATTAGAGTAATTCAATAAAACTTATTCACTTTGTCGAAATAATCTTTCACGTAATTATGATATTTAATCTTAGAGCCATGCCTAATGAAAGTTTAAAATTTTATCATCAAATTTACCCAAAACGGTAATTATTTTTATTAAATTTTGCTCGCTCTTTGCTATAATATAAAATTCACCCAATTCTCCTGATTCTTGTTCAAGACAATTTATATTAACCAAAAATTCTTATTCCCATTTTTCAAAATCAACATCTGCTGACTTTATCTCATTTTGTACATTAGAGATAAATTCACGCATTTTTCCTAATTGTTCAATTATTATAGAATCCTCTATTGTCTTCTAAGAGTGATATGTCTTTAACAAACAAAAATACCTATCAAAAAAATTCCTGCAAGTAATTAAAAAATCCTCCTCACTAAAATCGGAAGTTGTGATAAATTTGTTCATCTCCTCTTATATGATTATTAACTCATCAAGTTATTTATTAAATTATTCCAATAAAACTTATGGATAACACATGTCGAACTCTGTAAAAGTTTAATATCTGATAAGGTGTAATTATTAACTATAATTATTATTTGTTGCACAGCAACCCATTTATATTTAATTTTATATAATTCAAAAGCATTTATTTGCTGTTTTCAATCTATTTTATGATGTATTTTTTAGAATCATTTATTTAATAAATTTTCATATGCCTTAAATGCAACTCTATTTCTTATAAAAATGCTTATCCTAACTAATTTGATTTATAATTTGTTTTTTTAATTTCATTATAAAATTCGTTAATAGAGCTTTTATTTTAATCCCTTATAGCATGACATTTTACTTGAATGAAAAATTATTTAACAAATACCTTTGGAAATTAACAGCATTTTTATGATAATAAATGTACCATTAAATAATAAGAATAAATAACTATTCTAAAGTTTGAAAATAAATTATTTTAAGATTTAATATAACTAACTAATTCTTTCAAATTAATTTGTTCTTCCTTTTTAAATTGACATGATGCATAGAGATCTATAAAAAAATTTTAGCACCAATTAAAATCTGTAGTTAAAATCAAATTTTTGTAATAATTAGAAATGTAATTATGGTGATTTCTAATTAGGTGTTCTTTTATTGCATTGATATTGAAAGGTAAGGACGAAGAAAATTAATCTTGAAAATATCCAATAGAAAATAGGGAGATTTATTAAATCTTCATATTTTTCACTGTTTATGAACTTAATTATATAAATAATCAAGAAAATCTTGAATTTTAAATTAGTTCACAATAAACTTAGAAAAACTTTATTCAGTTACATCCTACCAAAATTAAAGATAACAACCTCTCAAAGGTAAGGCACATCATCACAATAGCGAGACTGCTATTTTCAGACAATTCTGCTTGTTCTAATATAATGAAAAGTAGTATAAAAATTTAGTTTTTGAAATTTTTGTTTAGAAAGAAGTAATTTAAGGAAAATCTATCCAGAACCACCAAAACTTGTTGCCCCAAGGATGAATAAATTTTAATAGCTTCAATCATTTTTTAGTTTGCGCTTTGTTGGGCTTATAGAACAATTTTTCTTTCCAAAGAGATTATACTTTATTCCTATTTAAAAGATACTATACCATTAAAAATATACTATAATTTTTTCAGTTGCATTAAATAGTTAGTAAACCTTGAAATTTAAAAAAGTTTAAAATTTGTAATATAGTATATTTAATTAAGTTGTGTTAAAAAAAGTTAGAAAGAAAACCATATAATGTTGTTTAATTATTTTAATTCAACTTTAATATGACAATCTTTTTTAATAAACCAAGCCTTATCAATCAGGAGTATAAATATTTTGGACATCCTTCATTTAAAAAATTACAGGTAATGATACTACTTGATTATATACAGTCTTAAATAAACAACTTATTAATATATTTGCAGTTTGCCTTTGGTTTGATCAATATTAGTATTTGTTCAAAATATTTGATATCTTTTGGTAGGAGGACTGAGGTTAAAGAAGCAATATAGATCGAAAAGTTCAATATAGTGTCTTTAATTGCGATCTTTTATTTAATATGCAAATATACAATAGACAGAGTTTTATATATTGAATTATTATTAATTTTATTTTTGTTATCTAATCTCAAAATATTCTTCTTCTTCACCCCATTCATAAATTTATTTCAATTGAAGTCTGATTGAATAGAATAACTTCAAGAGACTCTCAACAGTTTTTAAAAAATTTCATAAGTTTCATAAATAATGAATCAATTATAATTGTGAAATTAGTTTAAATAATTGCTATAGATCAACCTTAAAATTTGAGTTTTTGAGAATATATTGGAATAAAAGGAGAAAAAATGTATTTAATGTATAAGAATTGTTGAATTTAATCACAAAATTCATTGAATTGATTAAAATGCATGAAAGAAATAAAACAATTGTTAGAATCCAATCAATAATTGCATTTTTAATTAGTTACATTTAAATCAGTAGAGTTATATCAGTGAGTATATGTCGAGAATTCAAAAACTAATATATTTGATATTCAAAGTTGATTAGTGAATATTAAATAAAATAAATGAAATATTGTATTTGAGAAGGTGGATTTTTTTGTTTTCTTTAAGAATTTTCGAAAAAATCATGATAGATCCATTTTAATATAAATTTCAGGATTATACATTTGAAAATTTGAGAAATTCTGACCTTTAGTAAACTATAGAATAAGATGCAAAAATATTGATGTAATATTATGTGAAATTTTCTCTAAAAAAGAAGCAAATTTTGAGTTCAACTTTGGATTAATCTTAAAAACTTGATTATTAAATGAACTAGTATTTTTCATCCAAATCAGCATTCATCTAAGTTAATTACATATTTTTTGAATTTATAAAATAATAAATGAAACAAATTTTTCATTAAATAAAATACAATGAAATAGAACATCACTTCCAATACAAATTCGAATGCGGATTCTAATCCTATTCCAATGTTTGCTCACATTATTTTAGTTTATTAGGAGAAGAAGAAAATTTACAATGTTGAAGTTGATCTAAATTTATAAGTGAAAGACTTAATTATGGAGTTTCTTCCAGTACTATTACCAGGAGATTAACAATAAGTTGTTCTCTAACTTAATAAACAAACTCTTGAACCAAAAAACAAATTAAAAGATTATGACATTAAAAAGGGTACTGAGTTACAGATTTTACTCACTACTCTTGGAGGAAAGTAATCGGATTTATGAATAATAAAGAAACAAGAGTCAATAAAGTTATTAAGAATCGTACTCTAAAGTTTGATACTCTTGTTTAATTTTTATTTCTATTACAATTAACAAATTAATCCTTTAACATTTGTTAGTAAATATTAATTTAAAAAATATTTGAAACATCAAATAAATCTAAGGACTAGTGATTGGGGATAGTTCATATCTCACGAATTTCAATTTTTATTCACCATCCAACATTATTAAACAAAAAATGTAATTTAACAGCTCAAATAAATATTTTTATAAACTCTTTTAGTTTAGATTTTAAAAATATAAGAACAAATTGATTTGGAAGGAAAAGACAACTTTGCATTCTTGCTAACAAAAAATTGTTCAAAAATATATTAATTTCGTATCTAAAAAATTGAAATATTGGAAAAAGTAAACAAAAAATACTCTTAGAACATCTCTTTATTTGGTCGAAAATACTACTTTGATGGAAGTTCGCGAAATAAATTTAAATTTTTGATTGTAGCTTGAATAAAGAAAGAAATTTAACTCATTTAAATGTAACTAAATTTACAATTCTCATTTTAATTGAAAAGTATTATATCAAATTTATAAATTGAATTGACAATTTTTCATTTAATTACTTTCTTATTTAGAAAAAATAGTTATAATGATAGATATAGAAATTAAAAATGAACCATTCAAATTAATAACAATCGGAAACCCTTTTTCATTATCTGCAATTAACTAGAAGCTTGTAGTAATTATCATAGGATTGGATGCTGCAGGAACACTACTATATTACAAATTAACATTAGGAACATTGGAAAGCTCAACTCCAACCAAAAAAGGATTAAATTTAGAAAAATATCAAGTAATAAGTTTGACATAAATTGGAGAGAAGCAGACAAATTAAGAAACCTTTGGAAACATTACATGAAGGATAGTAAATGGATAATTTATGTTATTGATTTTTATGATAAAGAAAGAATGGATGAGGCAAAGTCTGAATTTCATCGAATGTTGCTTGACCCTTTACTTCTTGGATAAATCCTTCTGATAGAAGCAAATAAACAAGACTTAGTAAAAATGAAATCAGAAGAATTAGCTGTTGATTTAAATATCAACAAATTTTGTTCAAATTGGCTATATAACTATGTTGCTCAATCACTGGTGAAGGTCTTTAAGAAGGATTAAACTGGATTTAAGAATATATTTAAAAGTAGGTCATTTCGAATTCTATAGTGTAATGAAATATGCAGTATGAAAATTTGCCTTTAAATAAATATTTCTCAATTTTAATTATTTTTTACACCTTATGAGCTGCCAATAATATTATTATTTAAAAAATATTATTATTAATGATTAGTTGAATGATATTACACATGATTCAATTACATATGAGCAAAATCTATCGCGCTATTGATATTTTAATTAACACAATATTCTTTTTACTAATGTAAAAATAAACTATAATTTAATGATTCCTTAGATTTTCCTGTATTTGATGAGGATATTATTAATGTTTTCATATTTTTAAACAAAAAACATTCAGTATATCTATTTAAAGAAACTCTACTTCACATATAGAGTTATTAATAGAGTTGTCTATTCGATTTAATTCTCAGACATTTAATAAAAAATCTATCTAATCACAATCGTAGAATTAAATTAACAATTCAATTTTCCTATTCTATATTAATTAATTCCAATACTTTTCTATTGGGTTTAATATGGAGAATTCGATGTCAAGAATGCAACGATCAACAGATTCATAAATATTTTTTACTTTTTCTTAACTGTGTGAATACTACAGTTATCGAGAAGAACAACAATACTATGATTGTAATGTTATCTAAACAATTTTACCGGTTCAACTGAAAATTCCTTTAAATATCTGAGCATATTGTCCCGATATCTATATTCAATACAAAAAGATTCCCCAATCCAACTGCTCCTTGAATTTAAATTGCTTTTTCTCATGGTGATGATATTCATAATCTTGGAGCTTTTTATGTTACCAGCTCCTGTATTTACCAATTTTATGTAACTCATCCTGTTTTATCATTTAATACAAGATTGCATCAACTTAAGTATTATATGGAATAGTAATATCTTTATCCTATATTATTGCTTCCCATACTACTCCACATTATATTTTAACATTAACCCTAAATGTCGATGTTGCAAATGTACCTTTAAATTGAAAATTATATAAAACACTTTTAATTTCTCTTATTAAAATTTACATTAAGCATTTTTTTGCTGCTTAATTAAAATCTTTTCCTTTTAGCAAAATAGGTATCTAATATCAGAAGTTATTCTATTATTTAATTTGTTCTGATAATAATATCAATAAATTTATTTGCCTATCAATTTTATCTAAAACGTTTTTTTAATTGGGAAAACCTTTTTTTGCAAATTTCACGAAAACAAGTTTAAGCAGCAATATTTGCATAAATATAACAGAATTAATACAAATCTTTCATCAAGTAATTATCTATATGAAGTTATAAGTTCATTTAAGTCTAGCGTATTTTAAATTTATTTATTAATCTATTTTTTGTAATGATGTTGTACCATTAATTATTATTATTATTATTATTATTATTATTATTATTATTATTATTATTATTATTATTATTATTATTAATATTAAGATACATTAAACAAATATCACATTCATAAATTCTCGATATTATTCATTATT